GCACTATCCTCCACCCTCGTGTGGCTTTTCGCACACAGAAGGTCGGAGAGATGTGTGAGGATGTTGATTCCCTCACATGTCCAGCCGCTAAACGATCGGCAAATAATTCGTCGATCGCTGTGACCTGTTCACAAGGTAGTGGCCACTGCTTCATGACACAGTATTTCGATCCCGGTTGCAGTTCGATCTCGTGCAGAGTGCCTTTGTCTTTGGGCAGCTCGCATGGCACGGATTCTGGGGAAACATCCCGAATTCCGCCAAATTCCTGACACATAGGATGTTTCTTCAAAGACTCCCAAGATTGAGACGTGTATCGCTCAATTCGGTTCTTCTCATCCAGGAAACTCTCGTCCATCGATGAGCTACTGAGAACCCGTTCGTTCTCAGCAAACACTTGTGCCGACCGAAAATCGGCGACGTATTCGTCCCCTGTGACGAGTACGCAGATCTGCTTGATCTTGTCGCTACGCAGATATTGCAAGAGCCTTCTAGATTATAGCGTTGGCAACTTAACTACCTCCGAATATGACTTCGGGGGCGTAACTGGATCAAGTGTATAAGCGCCTACACTTGATCCGTCATTCACCAAGACATTCAATGTCTCAGTTTTTCCTAGGAACCCTTTACACAGGATGCATAAAAATTATCTCCATCAGGTTGATGACGTCTCAATACCTCTTTTACAAATTCTCGAGATATTTCCTTCTCACGTACGTGGAGACCTTTTCTATCGACTTTGTAGCTGTGATCACGCCACAACACCTTGTTTCTCTCGAAAGAATTTTCAGTTGATCTTTTAACATCACGTTGCCCTATGTGCGCAATCTGTTCAATCTAATTTGGATGTCGCCCACCAAGCGTTCACCCATGTCCCGGTCCACTCAATTTCTTCGAGTAGTGGACCTTCGACGCTGCCTGTAAATACGCCTAGTTGCCTGCATCTCTCTCCACAGTGCAGTAGGTTGTCATAATGTAATCTTGTGCCGTTGTAATAATGACTGTACCGCAAGGAGGGCCACCGCACTCACTCGCAGTATACACACACGATTGTGGACGCTCCAAGACGTTCATCAGATGGCCATCTGATGAACAAACGGCCGGCATCTTCACAAATCGATGCTGGCAGCTGACCCAAGGCTGGTATCTTCTGAGCCATGGCAGACCGAGGATGATGGCCAATGTGTATTCCAGATCAAGGTAAATAAAGTCATCATCGTACTGCTTTCCTTCTAGCGTGTAGTGGATTTCCGCTACACGTTAGTTTACTGTTACAGATGCGCATGTTGCAAGGCACACCGTCATCCCCGTATAAAAGGTTCGCTCAACATATTTGAGCCTGCAATCTTCTAGAAATTTGCGACGGACAAAGTTATTCGACACCCGAAGTCAACTAGGGCACGAAGTGACAAATCTCTTGTCACTTTAAAATTTAAGGTGATGAGAGGTACCTCGTCACCAAGTGCAGCGTCACACATGGATTGTTAGTATGGAACCAAAATTTACTTGTTTATTTGCAAATTTTCTGACGTTTTCTGGATTAGGAGAGCACTCCATTCCTACTGATCCTGACCTATTTTAAGACGGTTTACTACGCTGTTGCGATTTTGCAAAAACGGTGGACCCGCGTCCTTTGCCATTCTTGTTAACTAATCGATTACTTTGTATAATGTTTTGATACGATATGCACATAGTACTTTGCTGTTAAGCATCTTGTCATTAAATCTGAAAGCAGTTGCATTTCTGCAATCATGCGTTGTCTGAGGAGCTAGGTCTCTTGCTCGTTATACTGAAGAGGTCTAAAGGTTCTGGACATTCGAATTCTTGTCGTCTTAAGGGAAGATATGAACTCGAACTAGCATGGCATTGTCTCAAGCTAATGTCTTTTTGGTCCGCACGAGAGCAGTGATCAATGTGTGTGTATATGAACCAAGTTTGCCGTGATACAGCTTGCAAGGACTCGTATGTGTCAGGTGTAAGTGTGCAAATCACGCTTATCCTGTTTAAGTTTCAGGAGTTATGATACTTCCCTGAGCTCAGCCGTTGGCGGTTTAAACGTTTGTCTGGGCCGAGTCTTGAAGACCTCAATTGATCCATATACATACGGGTCGTGCAACTTAAGTCCTAATGCCCAGTTTTAACACGTCTAGCCATGTTTTAATGGTTAAATGCGACTTGCATTTAATAATTGACGGTGTGACGAGCCGCTTAGGGGGTCTTTTAACTTGACAAACCATCTCAGCAGTGAGTCTTGCTTAAATTCTCTGTACTTAAGGTGTCTATCTTAAACGTTTCGGGGCTACGCACGCATGTAGAGACGAAAGCATGTGCCTGATGTTGTCTAAACAGTACGAAACGTTTAGCACCCTGTTCTTTCAACAGCTCTGCCTATTAAGAAAATTGCTAGTAAAGCAAGATAACTTTTATCCGTGAATCGTCAGTTCATGGTGTATGAACTTAACGAAGACGACAAGCCGCCCATCTCTGTCCAGTGCAGACAGCATGGCAGAGACGGCATGTTTGACCGCATACTATTGGTGTCACTCAAATATCAGTAGCTATCACGCGTGGCGTAAAACTGTTTCTATCATCATCACACAAGCTCATGTTGGATGGAGGGGTTGCGGACGGACTACAAAATGCTACCAGTTAAACGGGACCCTTATTTACTAATACAGCTTCAGTACTAGTGCACCTACACTGACAACAAAGTAGGTAGCCGCGCGTATAGTCAAGTACCGTACGTGCAGAGAAAAAATAGTTAGTGAACGACGCGTTCCAAAAAGGAGGAGAAAGCATAAGTTTATTAAATAATAACAAGTCCTAACTAATAACCTATACTTAAGTCATTACGTAATTATGTATATCGACAAAAGAGTTTGCTAGAGTCTTGCTCACCACTCATTGCGTGCGTCCATCGTTATTGGACGGCTAGAGCTGGCTTGCATGATGGCCCATATCAGCCAATCTATCAGTGTTTCTAGATATCACCTTTGCAAAATATTCATTAACACGAACAACCCTTTTAATGATATGCTAAATATAAAGTATTAAGGATCAGTTACACGTAACAGACTAATCCCGTTACACAGGCCTCCTGTTCCATTTAAAATTACCTCCATAAAAAAACCGCTGAGATCTATAACCGATTATAGTCTTCAGTCGATTAATGGAGGCCGCTGAAATCTTGGATGTATGATGTTAGCGGAGGAATAGACGTAAGGTCCTTCGTAGCAAGTTGCATGGGTCTAATCGCGGTTGGTATGCTGTACCGAGTATGATGCGGGGCTTCGAGATCTACAATATCACGACCAGCCTATGCCTTTGCAAGACTGTAACACTCCAAGACGGCTGAAGTTTTAAGCACGTATTCGAGCTTGACAAACACACTAACGAATAAAGTGTTCGTAAACATTTTCATCGGAAGAAATGACTACCACCACGGGGCTTGCTAAAGTTGCCGTTCGCTTAACCAGTGTGGGCTGCACAAGAGGACTAATGCACAGCTGGTGCCTTCTAGAATGTGTTCCGCTAAAAGTAGCCAAAATTTTTGTAGTGGTTTTAGGCATTAATGTTACTGTATGTGAGGCCGCTTGGCTCACGCCACACCCACAGCAGCTGCTACATTGTCACAGATCCAAAGACGATAAAATACCTCTTGCCGTGTCTGGATGGACGGGAGACCAATCGCTGATCGCAGTGACAATATTTTATGACAACCTGCGGCGAGCAAGTGGCAATACTGGCACCAACCATACGCAAAAGTCGCAGTTTTGGCATCAGTCGTAAAACCAGCACCACTTGAGCACATAAATTAATGTGCACAACGTTAATTTTTTTCTACTGTATCGTTTTAATTCCATTCCGTAATCCGTTGTTAGCTAATCGCGATATGCCTCCCCCTCTTACACTGTCTTAAGTCATCCACCTTAGGCGGAGATCGTCCGTTGCTCGAACCCAAACTGCGCGGAGGGAGGGTCCCTCGCAGGCCTCTAGCGCAGATCGAGTAATGTGCGAAAAAAGGACAGGAAGGTGACGAATGGAAATGACTGGAAGTTGTTTACATGTTGTCTAACTTGAATGCTAACAATGACTACCGTTACACGTGAATGTGCGGCATTTGTGATTGATCTAGTATTAAGTCTTGCGCTATTCTGTTCAAACATATTGAAGCCGAAGGTCCCGCTGTTACTAGACCTTAATGATATGAAAGGATATCGATACTGTTGGTACTTAATAAAATTGACGTATTTATTTGCGTACGAGGTTACGTGTGTCATGTTTAAAAACATTTCGATTACAGTTGCCTTAGTATCGTAGAGGATGAAGCTATGGCTAGTCACGTGTCCTTGCCTCACTTCGGCGGTCGTGCTAGCGCGTTCGACGGGCCGTGAAAGCGGTAAATGAGACTACATACCGTGCGGCGATGCTGCGGCGACGGCACAAAAGTACAGTAAGCGTCTTGCATGGTCTTTACGTACCAATTTGAGGGGACAAACTCAGTGTTATGGCAAAGCAGCGCAGCATTGTAAAGGGATAGCCCGTTACATAGTCTTAGCACAAAACGGTGTCAACAGGGATATTGTCTAGCCTGACAATATCTTACCAATATTATCCGAGATGGATAATATTGAAGGAATATTATCCCCTTTAGGATAGTATTCATCCGCTGCTCAAAGATTGGTTGATAATAAGACATATCAACCATACATTACCACCAATCGCTGCTAGATGCGCGCAAGGAGTGATGAGCAGGTTGTCGTCATTTCGTCGTTACGACGACGTAGTTTAAGATAGTTAGATAAAGATTAAAGTTAATTTGATATCTTGACTATGTTACGTACAGTTCTCTTTTTGTATTACTTGATCGAGTCGTTCGAGTAGCTTAGCTTCCTCTGCGCGTACTAGTGTACGTGAAATTTCGTGGCACCCAAACAAAGGGTGCCCGTTACACCTGGTGGCACTTTGTAGTCCTTCCAGCGACTACTTAGTGTCCGTTCAACATGAACATGTTGGACGTAGAAGACGACAGCTTTCACGTCACACGTGAAGGCTACTCCCAGCTGAATGAATCAGCGTGGGAGGTAGTCGGCCGCATGAGTGTGCTCATGGGCGAACCCGCCATCAGCGGCATGTTGGAGCGACGGGTGGGCGGACGCACATGTTTTGACCCGAAAACTTGAAGATTGATATTTCAAGGTACAAGGGAACCGATGGAGATTCCCTTTTGAGATGGTTTGTCGAGTTAGACGATGCCATCAGGGCCCTTCACATCGAGGGTGATGCGATGCAAGTCACCTTCGCCATGTGACGGGACGAGCAAAGACTTGGGTCTTAGGGCTCAAGCTTCACGATCCAAACGTGCTTGAGGCGTTGGAGATCTTGAAGTCTCGACTCGAAGAGACGTTTGAGCCGCCGATAGCCGAGTCCAGAGCACGCTCTGCACTCGTGAGGCTAAAGCAAGTTAAGCGTGACGTGCACGGTTATGCACAGCACTTACGCTACCTTGCAAGTAGTGTCACGGAAAACACTGTTGATGAGCACACGCCCATCAACATGTTCATCTACGGTCTTGTAGATGGGCCGGTGAAGACCTTCATTTCGAGAGGACTTCCATACGCTGGAAAAGGTGATAGCGTATGCGGAACAAGAAAACAAGAGCCTGAGACAGTCTCAGGCTAACTCGTCCAACTATCGTCCGACGAGACGACAGGAAACAGGAGGTCCCGAACCAAGGGACCTCTGTTACATCGAGAGCGAGAACTCTCGCTCTCTGAGTCACAATCGAACGGCAAGATGCCGTCGCTGTCAGAAGATTGGACACTATGCTCATGAGTGTAGTGACCCAAGCACCGCAACACGTCCAAAGACAGGACGTGATGACCGTCGTTGGTCAAAGAAAGGTCCAAGGCGCGGGTCCGACCATGTTGCTGAACCGCGACAGCAAATTGACCCGTCAAAAAACGGTCAGTGTCAGTAGGGGCGGACCAACCTGCTAATCCAGCAACATCAAGAGAATTTAAAGGACTCTTGACGAAGATTGCTCCCAGCACACAGTCGCTGGGTGTTGCTGCCCCTAGTACTGAGGTGTCTATCATCACTTTGAAGATCGAAGTGACAAGTGGAATGTCACTTCGCACCCTAGTTGACTGTGAGGCGTCGAACAGTTTCATTTGACGCCAATAGCTAGAGGATAGTAGACTCAACTATGTTGAGCGACAGTTCCCTCCAACGAGGATGACATTGCCTTGCTACAGGCGCATCCGTAACAGTGAACAAACGTGTAGTGTGAATCCACTACACGTTAGAACTAAAGCAGAACGATGATGACTTCATCGTACTAGATTCGGATAATATATTTGATGTCAACCTCGGTCTGCCATGGCTCAGAAAATACCAGCCATGGGTAGCTGGCAGCATTGATTCGTGAAGATGCCTGCCGTTTGTTCATCAGATGGCCATCTGATGAATGTTTTGGAGCGTCCACAAGCGTGTGGATGCACTACGAGTGATTGAGATGACCTCACTTGTGGTACGGTTGTAGTATTACTGCACAAGATTACAGTGTAGAAGGCCACTACACTGTTGAACCAGCTTCCGGCACCTGTGCATAGACACAGGCTGAGACATAGGTTCACCACTAGATCGAGTGGACTAGAACATGGATGCACACCAAGCCGGGTGCATTTTAGAAGAGAGATGAGTGTTGTTAAAAATAAACAACATGTTAAAGCGAGATCGACTAAGAGAGAGTCGATCGTTAAGCAAACACGATCGATTAAAAGAGGTTCGATCGAAGAGGACGTGACTGTGGTAGTACACTCACAGTCAGAACAAGTATAGGAAGAAGGTTCCAGCGTTCCTTAGAGTAATAACTCCCGAGAGATTTACGTTGAGGATGTGGATCCCCAAGCACCTGCGGATGTGTTTTCCCAGGAAAGCACCGAGACAGTGAATGTCTTGGTGAATGACTAAACCCCACTTCACCACATACACTTGATCTGGTGACACCTCCTAAGTCAGCTTCGAAGACAATAAATTTCTTAACGCTGGAACATAGAAGATTCTTGCGACATCTGCGTGGTGACAAGATCAAGCAGATCTGCGTACGCGTCACAGAGGACGAAAACGTCGCCGATATTCGGTCGGCACAAGTGTTTGCTGAGAACGAACGGGTTCTCAGTAGCTCATTGATGGACGAGAGTGTCCTCGATGAGAAGAACCGAATTGAGCGATACACGTCTCAATCTTGGGAGTATTTGAAGAAACATCCTTTGTATAAGGATTTGGTGGAATTCAGGGATGTCTCCCCAGAATCCGTGCCATGCGAGCTGCCCAAAGACAAAGGCACTCTGCACGAGATCGAACTGCAACCGGGATCGAAATACTGTGTCATGAAGCAGTGGCCACTACCTTGTGAACAGGTCACAGCGATCGACGAATTATTTGCCGATCGTTTAGCGGCTGGACATGTGAGGGAATCAACATCCTCACACATCTCTCTGACCTTCTGTGTGCGAAGAGACACAGGAGGGTGGAGGATAGTGCACACGTTCAACAAATTGAACGCTGCAACGGTACCGGCTCGAACGCCGATCCAAAGGAAGGACGTCATCACTGATGGTATGGCAAAGAGTACCATCTTTTCGTCCATGGATCGGATGGATGGATTCTATCAGATCCTCATGCGTGAACGGGACATCCCGTACACAGCAGTGAGAACCCCTAGTGATATGCTCTGGGAGTGGCTAGTGATGCCACAGGGGCTAAGTAACTTCCCTGCAACGTTTAACAGATGTGTGACGAATCTGTTGCGATCGGTGCGAGACTTCGAACCGAGTTACATCGACGATGTCTTCGTCCATAGCCGGGCTATGGATAGAAAGACGGACGTGGAGGTTCATAGAATCCACGTCTGGAAGGTTCTTACACTAATGCGAGAGCATTAGTTGTTCGCGAACCTCAAGAAGTGTATATTCGCAGCGAGCGAAATACCACTTCTTGACTGCATCTTGGGTAAAAATGGCGTACGCCTTGATACAGAAAAGTTCAAGGAGATTAGCGACTGGCCTGTGCCATTCGACAACAGGGGACGTCGAAAGGTCCTTGGCTTAGCAGAGTACTTGCACAAGTACTCGCAGAACTGCGCCGAGATGACCGTTCATCTCTCTCGTCTGTTGAAGAAAAACGAGAGGTGGTCATGGAGTGCTATATGTCAGCACTCTTTTAAAGATACCAAGACAAGCTTGATACAATCGCCTGTGTTGGCGATTGCAGACCAGGACAGACCATTCCATGTGGTCTGTGACGCCAGTGATTTTGCGATCGGCTGCGCGTTAATGCAGTACGAATCAGACGGCGTTGAGCGCGTCTTCTGTTATCAATCGCGTCAGCTGCAAGCAGCTGTGTAGAATTACCCGGTGTATAACAAGGAACTCCTTGCCATGAAACATACACTGGCGAATTTTCGGGTATATCTCTTAGGAGATAGGCCGTTCATCGTTTATACCGACCATGCATCGTTACGCACGTCCGTAAACAGTCCACACCTCTTGCAACGAATGGCAAGGTGGCTGTCTTTATTCGCGGAGTACATCTTCTCCGTCGAGTATAAACCAGGACGACTTAATGTCGTCACTGGTGCTCTTTCGCGTCGGCCCGATTTCGATCCGACTGCTCAACCCAACAGTAGGGGTGATCCCACTGTTGCAACACTATCAGTGAGTGTTCCGCCGTCGAGTCTGCCCGACGACGTGCGAAAAGCGTACGCAGAAGATGAGTATCTTCTGCGGGTGATGGATTGTATAGCCAATCCATGAAGTCAAGCTTTGAAAAGCTTGTCGTCTTAATACCGCTCTTCAACCAAACGGTGTTCGGTTCGTGATGGACTGCGGTACTATAAAGCAGTCAACGGTGACACACCGCTTTTTGTCGTTACCGCTATAATGATTTGCGACTGCGCATCATGTCTGAGTGTCACGATGCCCCAACAAGTGAGCATCGCGGTAGAGAAAAGAATTGCCTCACGGTAAGTCGTAACTTCTACTGGCCCCGCCGGTATGAGTTTGCGCGCAAATACATTCGCGCTTACGAAGTTTGCCAATGGGTGAAGTCTATTCCTTCATCCCCCGCACCCTTGCAGACTCTTTCGATGCCGGCAGAGTGTTGGCAGTCCGTATCGATGGACTTCGTCATTTGATTTTTTGAAGACGCTAACAAGAATACTTGTAACGGGGTTGCACGTAATTATGGTACTTTGTACCAGAGGTGTTACACACCTGAGGTTACCCCTTTGTGAAGGTGATATAGAATATCTTATTGGTTTGTAGGGGCTGACGAGTGTCAGCCATTAGGTACGAAAGATCTTTGAGTAGGATTAAGATATTCTATAAGCGTTAACAAAAATAAAATTAGTTCCCATTTTGATCTAAAAGACACGTGGCTTGCGAGCCGTCTTGATCGTTAATAACTGATCACTAAGAGTTAGCAACACCTCCTTGAGGTAGCTACTCTTGAGCACTCAGTGCTGTCGATTCACTGAATCGTTAGGTCCCCTGGAACAGGGATCTGAAGCTGTCAAGCTTGTTGACTCGTTAAGTCGTTAGTTCTTTGGAACTAAGTTGCTCGTAGAGCGTTAGGTCTTCCTCTGACTTAAGGAGCTGTGTAGCTCCGCTACAATACTGGTATTCTTTTGTTTGTTGATCGGTTCAGCGAGATGGTACATCGTGTTGCTGTACCGGAGTCAATCACAGCCCACGGCTATGCTCGTGTCTTCATCGATACTATTTTCCGACTTCACGGGTTACCACGTGAACTCGTGTCTGATAGAAACCCCCCATTTTACGGCAGAGTTCTGTCAATCCGTGTTCCGTTCAATTGGAACAAGTTTGACGATGTCAACTTCTGACCATTTAGAAATATATAGAAGGAACGCGTCAACCGCGTCCTCGAAGAGATACTTCAAGGGTATGCCCACTAGTTCACGGGTTGGAGTGAATCTTGCCGATGGCGGAATTTGCCATCAACAACTCGGTGCATGCGTCGACAACGCGTACACCGTTCTTCGTGAGAGGCCTACGCCATCCACGTCTACCCACCTTCTTAGAGTGTGGCTATAGTTTAAGGGGGGTGGACTCGCTCGAACAAAAACCGATCTGTTTCTTGCTCATCACACGTCGACAATGGTGTCGACGTGATGGATGCTGATATCGATCACATCGACACCGATGATGATGATGAAGACAATGCTGGTATATTCAGCATCGCCAATGACTGCCACAGTAAGGACGACGACGCCCTCACTGGTGAAGACAACGTTCTTTCAGCAGTGCACACGAACCGCACTGCTGTTGACAAGGATGAATCAGCGGAGATATTTCTGCTGACTCGCGAAGCGTTTGTCTGCTTCGTTCAAGATTCTTTTGTAGATGCAATAGACAAGCAGCAAAAACGCAGACAAACATGTAAGAGCAAATGTTCTTTCATTTAATAAAGGAGACTTAGTTTTACTGTCTACAGTAAATCAACTGAAACACGCAGTGACAAAAGTGGGCAGCAGTAAATTACTGCCCAAGTATATCGGTCCTTATCGCGTGTTGCGCCAAATGGGCAACGCATTCACGATTGAACTGCCCCGTGCGATGTGTACGCATCCTACGTTTTAAGTTAGACGTCTCCGCCCGTACTATCAGTGCAAGCCCGTTTCGAGAGGCGAAGAATACCTCCGCGGTCGAGGGCCGAGACAACTCTCGAGTGGTCCCATTTCATCGTGCCAGTCTGGTTGACTTGAGGATCGACCTGTTCATGCAGTTGAGCGATGTCTAGAAGAGCTACAGCCAGCTCGTCACGAAGAAAACGAGACGAACGTTCGTTCTTAAGTTGTGCAAACGTGAACGCAGAACGATTTGTCTGAACGGTCGTGCGCTAAGGAATTGAAATTATCTCTTGCAAGATCCTAAAGTTCATAACGCCGAGTCCGTTCATGAGCCATGCTGTCGTGTATCTGATCCGCTACAAAGTTTAGTTTTTGAACATCAAGCTGATACAACCCTCGGACCGGATCAGGTGTTCCCACCGCCACCACATCCTTTAGTGGACTCTGGCGGTGGTCAACGCTTTCTAGTGGTGCATATCTTGGACCACCGCGACTTGAAGGGCGCCGGACGAGTTACCTCGAAAGCTGGCGTGGCTAATCCACCGGCTTGGGATAGTTAGGAGCTTCTCTCCCAGATGATTGTTGTCGCTCTGGGTCTCGTCGAGCAATATGACGAGACCCACCCGCTGCGTTCGAAGAAGGGACGTCGGAAAACGAATTCCCCGACCGTGAGTACAGGGATTGCAAAGTGTCAATGCCTTCGGCCATCTCAGAAGAGATGCGGGCCTTCCAGTAGGGATCATTAGGGAGGAAGGCCCCCCTAGGGGCACGGTTCGAGTTGTCCAGGCAACCTGGACACGAATCACCCCACGAGATACAGGGTAATCCTGCCTCTCTTGAAAGCCGGTGCAACTTGTATCGCGCCCCGACTGCGTTGCGTTTCTCAAACCTGATGCGAGCTGCATCAAGTTCAGCGAGCCAGGCCTCAAGGCCAATGCACTCGATGTTGTTTATGAGGGCATTCCATCCTTGCACCAAGGCTTTGCCGTCTCGAGCACGGCTACCGTTGTACCACCGATGTTTGAAGAACACATCGGTGTCAATTCTTCCTCAGCACGGATAGTTTCCGTGCTAGAATCAGGTGGGCAAGTCTTCCTACAATCGATAAACAGGATTCAATCTCGATCGGTGGTCATGCCGGCCAACCGGTCCAACTCTTTGGTTGACGGTATCCAAGGAGACTCCACTTGAGGAATGTAACGCAGGACATTGGGGTCCCTGGCCTCTTGATTGGTGTCAGCATGAGCACTGACACCAGTGACATCTTAATCCCTCGAGTTACTTCGCTCGTGGTGATGTATAGGTGCATCACCACCATCCCCACGCGTTCTAGTACCAGATGGACTTGTGTGAGACGAGGATTCGTCAGACGAATCGCTCGGTCCGAAGATGTTCGAGCATGATACCGTCATTTTCCCCAGAGCCGGTCAACCTGGCTCTGGCAGTGTCCGCCTCGGGTAATCCGGGAGTAGAAAAGGCGCCACCTTCGAGTAGGATGCACCATCCCACTCGCTAGAATAGATACGCTGTTTTCAAATTCATCCACATTGCGAGTCGCGACACCCGCTGCAGACGTACCGGATGTATCTATCGCAAATGGTAGTTCACCACGTGGACTAGTCGCAACAGGCAATGCCTGTTGCCCACTTGCAACAGGCGAATGACCACATGCTGCTGAAGCAAGAGAAGATATCTCTTCGGCTGCACGCATGCGTGCAACCGCTTTTCTGGCTGCTTCGGCAGCACATTGCGTGGACTTGACACCATGCGATGAATTGGCAAATGAGTTGAGATTCGACCAACAAGTGCTCCCTTTCCCAGAGTGATCCAACGGTGTTCACCCTGTCCCAATCAATTCTATTCAATCCACGGGTGATTGATAGTTGAGGGGTGGTAATGTAATGGGATAGCCCGTTTCATGATATTGACACCAAACGGTGTCAATAGGAATATAGTCTAGCATGACGATATCTTACCAATATTATCCGAGATGGATAATATAGATGGAATATTATCCCCTTTTAGGCTAATATTCATGCGCTGCTCAAAGATTGGTTGATAAAAGATAAATCAATACAAAGTGGTGAAATTGGTAAACACAGTACACTTCGGATGTAACGCTTGATGAGCATTGAAGGTTTAAATCCCTTCTTTGATAGTGGTGAGGAGGTTGTCGTCATACGACAATGTAGATTAACATAATTAGATAAAGACTGAAGTTATGTCGATAGCTTAACTATAATAAATACAGTCCTCTTTTCACCTTAACTCAAACTGGCAATTTAACTAGATTAGCTTCCTCTGCAAGTACTAGTGTACGTGATGTTTCGTGGCACCCCAAACAAAGGGTGCTTCGTTACACCTGGTGGCACTTTGTAGTCCGTCCAACGACTACTTAGTGTACGTCGAACATGATCATGTTGGACGTAGAAGACGACAGTGTAACAGAGCACCCTTTGTCTGGGTTACGAAACTTCACGTACACTCGTACGTGCAGAGGAAGCTAATCTACTCAACGGCTAAGCTGAGTAAAGGTAAAAAGAGAACTGTTTTTGATATAGTTAAGCTATCAATTTAACTTTAATCTTTATCTAAGTATCTTAAACTACGTCGTCGTAACGACGAAATGACGACAACCTGCTCACAACTCCTTGCGCGCATCTAGCAGCGATTGGTGGTACTCAGTGGTTGATATGTCTTTTATCAACCAATCTTTGAGCAGCGCATAAATATTACCCTAAAAGAGGATAATATTCCATCTATGTTATCCATCTCGGATAATATTGGTAAGATATTGTCAGGCTAGACAATATCCCTACTGACACCGTTTGGTGTCATATCATGAAACGGGCTATCTCATTACATTTTCACCCCTCGTAACCATCAATCACTCGTGGATTGGATAGAATTGATTGGGACAGGGTGACCACAGTTGGATCACTCTGGGAAAGGGAGCACTTGTGGGTACAATTTCATTATTTTGCCAATACAACGCATGGTTTCAAAAGCCAAGCGAGTTGCTACTGCAGCAGCAAGAAAGGCGGTCGCACACATGCGTGCATCCGGAGAGAGTACTTCTCACACCTCAGCAGCAGGTGGTTCGTCGCCTGCTGCTGTGAACAGTCCACACGGTGAGTCACCACGTGCAACTGATACATCCGCTGCAGCGGGTACCGCGAATCGTAATCCAGATGAGCCTAAAATAGAGCTCATCTATTCTGGCGAGTTGGATGATGTAGCCGACTCGAAGGCGATACCTCACGCCTCCGGATTACCCGAGCCGGACACTGCAAGAGCCAGGTTGACTGGTTCTGGTGAACGTGGCGGTATCATGCTCGAACATCTTCGGACCGAGCGATTTTTCGGACGAATCCTCGCCTCACGCAAGTCCATACAACGATAGGACGCGTGGGGATGGTGGTGATGCACCTATACATCACCACGAGCGAAGTAACTCGAGGGATTGAGATGTCACTGGTGTCAGTGCTCATGCTGACACCAATCAAGAGGCCAGGGACCCCAATGTCCTGCGTTACATTCCTCAAGTGGAGTCTCCTTGGATACCGTCAACCAAAGAGTTGGACCGGTTGGCCGGCATGACCACCGATCGAGATTGAATCCCGTTTATCGATTGTAGGAAGACTTGCCCACCTGATTCTAGCACGGAAACTATCCGTGCTGAGGAAGAATTTGACACCGATGTGTTCTTCAAACATTGGTGGTACAACGGTAGCCGTGCTCGAGACGGCAAAGCCTTGGTGCAAGGATGGAATGCCCTCATAAACAACATCGAGTGCATTGGCCTTGAGGCCTGGCTCGCTGAACTTGATGCAGGTCGCATCAGGTTTGAGAAACGCAACGCAGTCGGGGCGCGATACAAGTTGCACCGGCTTTCAAGAGAGGCAGGATTACCCTGTATCTCGTGGGGTGATTCGTGTCCAGGTTGCCTGGAAAACTCGTACCGTGCCCCTAGGAAGGCCTTCCTCCCTAATGATCCCTACTGGAAGGCCCGCATCTCTTCTGAGATGGCCGAAGGCATTGACACTTTGCAATCCCTGTACTCACGTTCGGGGAATTCGTTTTTCGACGGCCCTTCTTCGAACGCAGCGGGTGGGTCTCGTCATATTGCTCGACGAGACCCAGAACGACAACAATCAGCTGGGCGAGAAGCTCCTAACTATCCCAAGCCGGTGGATAGCCACGCCAGCTTTCGAGGTAACTCGTCCGGCGCCCTTCACGTCGCGGTGGTCCAAGACATGCACCACTAGAAAGCGTTGACCACCGCCAGAGTCCACCAAAGGATGTGGTGGTGGCGGGAACAACTGATTCGGCTCGAGGGTTGGATCAGCTTGATGTTCAGGAGCTGAACCGTGTAACGGAACAGTTGCAAGATGACCTGGCTCACGAACGGACTCGGCGTTATGAGCTTTAGGATCTTGCAAGAGATAATTTCAATTCCTTAGCGCACGACCGTTCAAACGATCGTACCGCGTTTGCGTTTGCACAACTTGAGAACGAACGTTCGGTTCGTTTTCTTCGTGACGAGCTGGCTGTAGCTCTTCTAGACATCGCTCCACTGCGTGAGCAGTTCGCTCCGCAAGTCGACCAGACTGGCTCGTTGAAACGGGACCACTTACGGGTGGTCTCGGCTCTCGACCGCGGAGGTGTTATTCGCCTCTCGAAACGGGCTTGCACTGATAGTACGGGCGGAGACGTCCAACGTAAAACGCAGATGCGTGCGCATCGCACGGGGCAGTTCAATCGTGAATGCGTTGCCCATTTGGCGAAACACTTGAAATGGACCGATATACTTGGGCAGTAATTTACTGCTGCCCACTTTTGTCACTGCGTGTTTCAGTTGATTTACTGTAGACAGTAAAACTAAGTCTCCTTTATTAAATGAAAGAACATTTGCTCTTACATGTTTGTCTGCGTTTTTGCTGCTTGTCTATTGCATCTACAAAAGAATCTTGAACGAAGCGGACAACCGCTTCGGGAGTCAGCAGAAATATCTCCGCTGACTCGTCCTTGTTGACATCAGTGCACTTCGTGTGCACTGCTGAAAGAACGTTGTCTTCACCAGTGAAAACTTCATCTACCTCACTGTAGCAGTCATTGGCGATGCTGAAGATGCCAGAATCTTCTTCATCATCATCATCGGTGTCGATGTGATCGACATCAGCATCCATCACGTCGACATCATTGTCGACCTGTGATGAGCAAGAACCAGATCGGTTTTTGTTCGAGCGAGTCCCCCCCCTTAAACTATAGTCACACTCGAAGAAGATGGGTAGACGTGGATGGCGTAGGCCTCTCACGAAGAGCGGTGTACGCGTTGTCGACGCATGAACCAAGTTGTTGATTGCAAATTCCGCCATCGGCAAGAACTCACTCCAGCTCGTAAACGAGTGGACATACCCCGAAGTATCTCTTCGAGGACGCGGTTTACCCGTTTCGTCTGACCATCTGTTTCTGGATGGTCAGAAGTTGACATCGTCAAACTTGTTCCAAGTGAACGGAAAACGAATTGCCAGAACTACGCTCTATAGCGGGGGTCTCCATCAGACACGAGTTCACAGGGTAAACCGTGAAGTCGGAAAATAGTATCGATGAAGACACGCGCACAGCCCTGGCCTGTAATTGACTCCGGTACAGCACCAAAATGTACCATCTTGCTGAACTGATCAACAAACAAAAGAATACCAGTATTTTAGCGGAGCTACACATCTCCTTAACTCAGAGGAAGACCTAACGCTCTACGAGCAACTTAGTTCCAAAGAACTAACGACTTAACGAGTCAACAAGCTTGACAGCTTCAGATCCCTGTTCCAGGGGACCTAACGATTCAGTGAATCGACAGCACTCAGTGCTCAAGAGTAGCTACCTCAAGGAGGTGTTGCTAACTCTTAGTGATCAGTTATTAACGATCAAGACGGCTCGCAAGCCACGTGTCTTTTAGATCAAAATGGGAACTAATTTTATTTTTGTTAACGCTTATAGAATATCTTAATCCTACTCAAAGATCTTTTGTACTTAATGGCTGACACTCGTCAGCCCCTACAAACCAATAAGATATTCTATATCACCTTCACAAAGGGGTAACCTCAGGTGTGTAACACCTCTGGTACAAAGTACCATAATTACGTGCAACCCCGTTACACCGTCCCCCACCAGACTGACGCTTGCCAAAACGTCAATCGAACTTGTGTTCTCAGCGAGAACAGTGCGCGTACGGAGAACCTCACGGTAACGTAAGCTCTAGCACGATGTCCTCACCACTAAACGAGTCAAAGGCTCTGTGTGACTACCTCGGAATAGAGGAGGAGGTGGACTATGGTAGCGATACCAGTGTCCGCGGTGATACAGGGACAATGTCCGGATCACTGATGCCTGTGGCACAACCTTCGAACACCCCAAATACGTTCGCTGAACGTGGAGATGCGAGCGCGCCACCAGCGCAGCATGCAGCATCTGGGTCTGATGAGACTATCATCACGAACCCGCTCGATGAGCAACAACAATTGCTTGTCCAAAGAGACGAAAACGCTCAGCGTTATGTACAAATGGCTGCAACCCTTAAACGCCAGCGTGACTATGTGTTCACCTCACCCAGTGTGGAGAAACGTCTACGTCAAGCGGCCGGCCAAACATTGGCAACGTGGGTCCTTGGCCATGGGCCTAAGACTCCTGAGGAGGTGCTGAGCTGCCAGGCACTTCGTGAGAGGTGCCTGGAGCCGCACCTAACGACTCAAAGTCAATACAAGGCACGCCTTGACATGCAAGCGCATGGTACATCGGTTCCACCGATCAAGGGTATACCCATTTTCTTGCTCGCAGGCAAAACAGTAAGCGAAGAAGACAATGCCTTCGTTCACTGGGTGCACTATGTGCGTCGCCTCAGCAAAATTTTTGCTCTAAGGGCTAGTGCCCATGCGGCTGATGTGCGTCTCGAACGCAAGCTTCGGTATGATTCTGCCAAGCTTAAGGCCAGAGGCCAATTGCGCAAGCGCACGCGCTATGCTTCGGCTACTAAGATAGCCGCGAGAGCTGGTCAGTCTGTGGCCAACAACCCGCCAACCCGCACCACTAGTGGTGGGGAACGGCCTCGGCCTCGAGATGACCATGGCCACGATGCTCAAAAGCCTCCAAAGCATATGGGCAGTCTTGCCGAAGGGGGAACTCAAATTCCCATGAGTTTTCAGACTCAGGGTACCCACGCCACTTTACCAGATACTGGTATTGGCCCTGACGACGACGTCGTTTCAGTAGTCTCTCGACATGAAATTGACGACACCCATGCTCATCGAGCAAAGTCGGTGGCGGCCGGTGTACCGGTGGAGGCCCACGAGAAATTGGTTATCGAAGTGAAGGGTCTTCAAGAGGCCTTGGGTAAGTCCTAGTGCATGCTGGATGCGATGCAAAGCCGCCTTCAGGCGATGGAGCAAGCTCAAACTCGGAGCGAGGCTCAGTTGGACTTGCTGATTCGTCTACAGCAATCCGGGGCAGTGCCCTTGTCGTCGGCGCAAGCGCCTCCAAGTTCACATGGGAAGGATCCCGGTACGGCTTAAGTAAGCCTACGTAAAACACTGGATGTGTGCGCAATTTGCGCGGAAGGTTTAGCGTATACGCAAGTCCCTTCTTGGCCGTGACCGTAAACGGTCCAACAAAGCGTACACGCAACTTAGCCTAAAAGACAGCAGACACTACATTTGTAGGTAGATTTTTAGCATTGAGTAGTACTTGGTCTCCGACTTCATAACGTTCAATACACTTTCTGCCTTTGGCATCAGCTTGTTGTTTTTGGTTAGCTTGGCTATCAGCCATTGCGTCACGCACATGTCTTAAGACATTTAATCGCGTTGCGAGAAACTCGCTTACCTGTTTTTAGACAGTAGCAGGGCTGATATCAGCAAGCCGATCGGCAACCTCTCCCCCACCAAGCCCTGATTCACGTAGTGATTGCGTTAACGGAACGCGAGGGTGAGTGAGACCGTTTATATAGAACGGAGTAAAGCCTGTCGAGGCATGAACAGCGTTATTCAACGCAAACTTAACAACAGGGAGCATTGAGCTTCAACGCTTAGGCGTATCAGCGCAAATACTGCGCAAAATGTCGTTGATGACGCGGTTAACACGCTCAGTTTGACCGACGGTCTGCGGATGATCCGCTGTGGACATGTTTAACCGAGTGCCCAGCACCTTGAAGATAGACTTCCAAAACTTCCCAGTGAAGCGGGGGTCTCTATCAGAGATAATTGCCACAGGCAAGCCATGTTGGCAAAACACACGGTCGATAAACAGCTTTGCTGTACCTTCAGCATCGATGCTATTTGGCACAGCCGCTAAGTGAGCCATCTTGCTTAAGCGGTCAACAAAGACCACAATACCAGTGTTGCCTTCCAAATCTTTCGGAAGGCCAAACACAAAATCCATGCTCATGGACTCCCAACAACCAGTGGGTACTGGCAAACTAGCCAGCGGAGCCGCCGCATGTGCTGAGGGTTTAACCCGTTGACACGTTTCGCACGTACGCACATAGGTGCTCACCCACTTATAAAGTTTGGGCCACCAATAACTTTGGCTCACGGAGCTATAAGTCTTCTCACGACCGAGATGACTACTTAAAGCAGTATCATGTGCCTCATAGACAGTTCGATACTTTAATTCCTCATCATGAGGTACAGCGATACGAGGCTTATCCTCAATATCCGTGCGATAGCACAACAGGCCATTATCAATGGAATATCGATGTAGCCTCGCACGTAAACGTGCCGACAATTCTATGTCCGAGTCTTTAAACTCATCGCTCTCAAGAGCACGTAGAAAAGCTACACACTGATCATCCTTGGCATATGCCGCGCTAATTAAGTCAAGGACTGACGACGACAGAGTCGTAAGATGAGCAAGCTTATAGTCAGGTCGACGCGATAGAGCATCAGCCAAAGCATTTGGCTTACCTGGCTTGTACTTCACCTCGAAGTTATATTCGGCAAAGAAGGAAAGCCAACGAGCAATTCTCTGTGAGAGATGAGGCGACTTTGTCGCAGTGCTTAATGACGCATGATCTGTATAGATCACAAAAGGCTTGGAGCCAAGCAGATGTACTCTGAATATGACAAGAGCGTACTTTATAGCAAGTAGCTCTTTGTCATGAACAGGATAGTTCTTTTCAGCAGCTTTCAGCTGCCGAGACTCGAATGCGATGACGCGTTCGCGTCCGTCGACATCTGTTTGTAACAGAGCACTGCCTATGGCAAAGTCAGGTGCGTCACAGACGACACTGAATGGCCGATCAGAATCGGGCAAAGCCAATATTGGCGCATGATGGAGACTCTCCTTAACTGCTTCAAAAGCATTATGTTCGGTGTTACCACAACACCAATCCACATCCTTTTTAAGGAGATTGGACAATGGCCGAGCCATATCTGCGTAATTCGCACAGTACTTATGTAAGTAATTGGCAAGGCCAAGCCACTTACGCAAGTTCTTTTGGTTATTGGGAACCGGCCAGTCGACTATGGCTTTCACCTTAGCGGGATCCGTTCGAAGGCCTCGCTTCCCAATGAAGCAGCCTAGAAAGGGAATCTCTTCTGCACCAAAGATGCACTTCGATGCGTTAGCATACAACTTATTCGTTCGCATGCACTCGAGCACAGCTCGTAACTGATCAATGTGGTTATCCACTTCTGATCGCCCATTCAGTGCACGACTATGGACAAATATGTCATTAAAAGTACGTTTGTGCATAGCCTCGATGAGGTCTGAATAGTTGCGTTACCAGCCGGTTAAACGTAGCCGGGGCGTTAGATAGCCCTTGTGGCATAACAAGCCACTCCCAGAGCATACCGCTCGGAGTACTCACCGCTGTTAGCGGAATATCACTTGCTCGCATAAGCAGTTGGTTATAACCATCGACTAAGTCAAGTGCACTGTACATAGTACATCCTGCCATATTGTTCTGAAGCACATCCTTTCTAGTAATAGGCGTCTGCGCCGGTATAGTGGCTGCATTAAGCTTTATATATCCATGCACGATACGCCACTTGCCATTTGGCTTTTTGACACAAAATGTCGGTGTTGAATGGGGAGACTTGCTCTCACGAACCAATCCAGCCGCGTGTTTAGCACGAAAGAAGTCGTCAATGACGTCACACTGTTCTTTAGGCAAAATCCAATGCCGTGTTACACAGTATTTAGTTCCAGGAACTAAGTCAATCTCATGACGTACACCTCTATCGGGAGGTAAGGCAGAAGGTGGGTTGTGACACACCACATCTTGAAATTCCTTAACTAAAGGATAGAACGGATCCAAAGGATCTTTAAGGATCGAAGATCCACTTCGTGCACTAAGTGCCGCCTTTGTATCCTCTAGGACAGACTCATCCATTCACGAGGAAGAATTCAACTCAGCATCAGCTCTAATGACCGCTAACTCGGATAACTAACCTGCCTTCAAAGCCTGGCTAAACTCGCCATCAGACATTTGGTCTAGCTCACAAAGAGCGTCCACAGATGGAAGGGTTTCAAGGCAAACACTGCCATCAACCTGACCAGTCACTCCATTAACAAGTGTATATAATGTATTACTATTATCACTATGTGACTGTGAGGACGCCTGGCGCTTAAAAGTTGCTACCCGGCGTCTTGATCGTCTCTTCGAGACCTTACACCCCTAAGGGGTTGGGACAACATTGTCCCCATGGTTACTACCAACCATAGTACGCTCTATACGAGAGCTTTTGTCTTGACCGACATCCGGTGAAGTGTTACATAACTCGAACACTTCACCCAGTGGATTGAAACGTGCCACTCCACGTATAATATGCGGGCCTAGCCCCCAATTTAACGGCGTCTCGCCAATAACGTCATTACCGACATTAGGTGTGGTGCCCTCACGGCCGTCCACACTATACGGCGTATCGCCAACAACGCCATTACCGGCGTTAAGCGTGGTGCCCTCACGGCCGTCCACACTATACGGAGCATCGACAACAATATCATTACTGACATTAGGTGTGGTGCCCTCACGGCCGCCCACACTGTATGGCGAATCGCCAACAACGTCATTACCGACGTTCAGTGCGGCGCTCTCACGGCCGACCGCACTCGGTGTAGTTTCACGTGCCACCATACACACATCAAAGGAATCACATCCTTGATTACTAGGCCCTAGGCCAACCATGCTTTCAGCATGCAGTGACTCGTTATCACAACGAGCAACACTCAACGGAGTACGTACCGTTTCACTAGTTTCAGACGAGCTAGGCTCGAAACTTATGTTTGTAACATTGGAGTTAGATAACTCAGACATTCCAATATCCAGCACATTGACATCTTCTGTCAAAGGCTTGCGCCAATAGCGCTTCTGTCGCCTAGCGAAGGTGGGTTCATGACTCTCGAAAACTTCGCTAGGAACATTGCGCGTAGCGCCTAAGGTCTTAGACCTCCAATCAATCCATGGCTCATGGCGCTCAAGCCAAGCCACACCTCGGATGAGATCATATCTCGAGTCCAAATCTAGGACAAGACAGCGCTCAATACTGTCAAAGTCTAAAAACTTTACACCTAAGTTCAATGGGACTTTAGGCACAGTAACGCGACTTCCAGTCGCTAAACGAACCGTGATAGAATCAACCTCATGCGCTGTAAGCGCCTTAGCATAACGCTGACTTTCCTCAAGGGAACGGCGCCGAGCATAATTGCAAGACGCTCCAGAATCGATCAATTTCGACCAAGGCTTCTCAAAGCCCTTAATTTTCGCCTCGGCGACCAACAAGCCAGACTTGTATCCACGCACCATACCTGTAGGTATGGTACTCTTTGGGGCTAAGTCCTGCATTCCCTTACCTTTTTAAGGTGTAACAGAAACTAGTTCTTCCCCAGTAGGGCGCCCCGCGCCTACTGGGTGTCGGCATTTCCCCGTACCATGCCAGACTTTTGACTCGGGGTCGAGTGTTGGCTCGTAGCCTGGCGTTGCTTACGCAAAGGGCAACCAGGCCGCAAGTGTATAGTGCTTCCGCACGTAAAACATCGTCGTACGACGTGTTGCTGCTCAGCAGCTTGAAGCTCAGCTTCACCTCCATCTTCAGCATCGCTGAGATTCATCGGTTCCGGCCTATTATAGGCAGTGGTACCCGAAAAGTTTGCTCTCACAGAGCGAGGATTGTATCCATTCCAACCAAGTCTGGCCGACTTGAAATTATGCTCAGCATCAAGAGCAATTCTCACAGCCTCTTCAAACGTAGAGGGGTGAACCCGAATAACCTCGGTTCTGGCAATGCCAGTACGTAGACCTTCCATGAAGATAGTCACATATACTGCTTTAGGCAGAGGGTCAGACTGCATAGCAGCCATGAGCGTTCGCAGCTCTTGGACATATTCCGATAATTCATTTTTACCCTGGCGGGTAGAAAGAAAGCGTGAACACACGCGGTAAGCCTGGTTAGGTGGTGAGAACACCTGTACCAATTGTGACTTGAGCGACTCCCATGTGGGAAACGCTATGTCCACCGACGTGCTACACGTCAAGGCCCATTCTCTAGCTCTACCATCGAGCTTCGAGATAGCCAGCGAGACCTGTTGATGGTCAAGCGTGATCAGGCCTGATCTCATGGCCATCTCAATCTCAAGGATCCAGAGGATGAGGTTCTCACCCTCCTTACCGGAGTAGTTTTTCACTTCCACTCTAAGTAGACGAGGCTTAGTCTCTTCTTCTGGTACAGACACGTAGCGTGTAGGCATAGCCGACGCTATTTGGTCTTGGACCTGCCCTAAAAGGGTTGCTTCATACTGCATGAAGCTTTCAACACGTGCATTAAGCACTTCAGGACCTTGTGAAACAAGGAACTCCACGTACTCTGGACCCAAAGATGCGGTCAGCTTATCAAGCGCGACCTTTTTGGCCTCAGAGAGGGAAGTGGAGTTTTCCATCCTCACAGAGGATTAGTCTTAAAGACTCAGGTGTAGATTGACTACGAGTGCTACCAAGTGTAGCGGAGCTACACATCTCCTTAACTCAGAGGAAGACCTAACGCTCTACGAGCAACTTAGTTCCAAAGAACTAACGACTTAACGAGTCAACAAGCTTGACAGTTGATTGCAGATCCCTGTTCCAGCGGCAGACCTCACGATTCAGCTCGAAACGAGTGCACATACCCCAGAAGTAGCTACTTCAAGGAGGCGGTCTATACCCGTTTAGTCTGATCATCTGTTGATTTAGATGATCAGAAGTTGACATCGTCAACCACTTGTTCTAAGTTAACGGAATAGAATTTCCTTAACTACGCAAAGATCTTGTAGCGGGGTCTTCATGCAGACACTAGTTCACAGGCTACAAACCGTGAAGTCGGAAAATAGTATCTATGAACACACGCGCACAGCCCAGGGGTGTAACACCTCTGGTACACACCAAGAGTACCATCTTGTACGTGCAACCCCGTTACAAGTATTCTTGTTAGCGTCTTCAAAAAATCAAATGACGAAGTCCATCGATACGGACTGCCAACACTCTGCCGGCATCGAAAGAGTCTGCAAGGGTGCGCGGGATGAAGGAATAGACTTCACCCATTGGCAAACTTCGTAAGCGCGAATGTATTTGCGCGCAAACTCATACCGGCGGGGCCAGTAGAAGTTACGACTTACCGTGAGGCAATTCTTTTCTCTACCGCGATGCTCACTTGTTGGGGCATCGTGACACTCAGACATGATGCGCAGTCGCAAATCATTATAGCGGTAACGACAAAAAGCGGTGTGTCACCGTTGACTGCTTTATAGTACCGCAGTCCATCACGAACCGAACACCGTTTGGTTGAAGAGCGGTATTAAGACGACAAGCTTTTCAAAGCTTGACTTCATGGATTGGCTATACAATCCATCACCCGCAGAAGATACTCATCTTCTGCGTACGCTTTTCGCACGTCGTCGGGCAGACTCGACGGCGGAACACTCACTGATAGTGTTGCAACAGTGGGATCACCCCTACTGTTGGGTTGAGCAGTCGGATCGAAATCGGGCCGACGCGAAAGAGCACCAGTGACGACATTAAGTCGTCCTGGTTTATACTCGACGGAGAAGATGTACTCCGCGAATAAAGACAGCCACCTTGCCATTCGTTGCAAGAGGTGTGGACTGTTTACGGACGTGCGTAACGATGCATGGTCGGTATAAACGATGAACGGCCTATCTCCTAAGAGATATACCCGAAAATTCGCCAGTGTATGTTTCATGGCAAGGAGTTCCTTGTTATACACCGGGTAATTCTACACAGCTGCTTGCAGCTGACGCGATTGATAACAGAAGACGCGCTCAACGCCGTCTGATTCGTACTGCATTAACGCGCAGCCGATCGCAAAATCACTGGCGTCACAGACCACATGGAATGGTCTGTCCTGGTCTGCAATCGCCAACACAGGCGATTGTATCAAGCTTGTCTTGGTATCTTTAAAAGAGTGCTGACATATAGCACTCCATGACCACCTCTCGTTTTTCTTCAACAGACGAGAGAGATGAACGGTCATCTCGGCGCAGTTCTGCGAGTACTTGTGCAAGTACTCTGCTAAGCCAAGGACCTTTCGACGTCCCCTGTTGTCGAATGGCACAGGCCAGTCGCTAATCTCCTTGAACTTTTCTGTATCAAGGCGTACGCCATTTTTACCCAAGATGCAGTCAAGAAGTGGTATTTCGCTCGCTGCGAATATACACTTCTTGAGGTTCGCGAACAACTAATGCTCTCGCATTAGTGTAAGAACCTTCCAGACGTGGATTCTATGAACCCCCACGTCCGTCTTTCTATCCATAGCCCGGCTATGGACGAAGACATCGTCGATGTAACTCGGTTCGAAGTCTCGCACCGATCGCAACAGATTCGTCACACATCTGTTAAACGTTGCAGGGAAGTTACTTAGCCCCTGTGGCATCACTAGCCACTCCCAGAGCATATCACTGGGGGTGCTCACTGCTGTGTACGGGATGTCCCGTTCACGCATGAGGATCTGATAGAATCCATCCATCCGATCCATGGACGAAAAGATGGTACTCTTTGCCATACCATCAGTGATGACGTCCTTCCTTTGGATCGGCGTTCGAGCCGGTACCGTTGCAGCGTTCAATTTGTTGAACGTGTGCACTATCCTCCACCCTCCTGTGTCTCTTCGCACACAGAAGGTCAGAGAGATGTGTGAGGATGTTGATTCCCTCACATGTCCAGCCGCTAAACGATCGGCAAATAATTCGTCGATCGCTGTGACCTGTTCACAAGGTAGTGGCCACTGCTTCATGACACAGTATTTCGATCCCGGTTGCAGTTCGATCTCGTGCCGAGTGCCTTTGTCTTTGGGCAGCTCGCATGGCACGGATTCTGGGGAAGACATCCCTGAATTCCACCAAATCCTTATACAAAGGATGTTTCTTCAATAACTCCCAAGATTGAGACGTGTATCGCTCAATTCGGTTCTTCTCATCGAGGACACTCTCGTCCATCAATGAGCTACTGAGAAACCGTTCGTGCTCAGCAAACACTTGTGCCGACCGAATATCGGCGACGTTTTCGTCCTCTGTGACGCGTACGCAGATCTGCTTGATCTTGTCACCACGCAGATATCGCAAGAATCTTCTATGTTCCAGCGTTAAGAAATTTATTGTCTTCGAAGCTGACTTAGGAGGTGTCACCAGATCAAGTGTATGTGGTGAAGTGGGGTTTAGTCATTCACCAAGACATTCACTGTCTCGGTGCTTTCCTGGGAAAACACATCCGCAGGTGCTTGGGGATCCACATCCTCAACGTAAATCTCTCGGGAGTTATTACTCTAAGGAACGCTGGAACCTTCTTCCTATACTTGTTCTGACTGTGAGTGTACTACCACAGTCACGTCCTCTTCGATCGAACCTCTTTTAATCGATCGTGTTTGCTTAACGATCGACTCTCTCTTAGTCGATCTCGCTTTAACATGTTGTTTATTTTTAACAACACTCATCTCTCTTCTAAAATGCACCCGGCTTGGTGTGCATCCATGTTCTAGTCCACTCGATCTAGTGGTGAACCTATGACTCAGCCTGTGTCTATGCACAGGTGCCGGAAGCTGGTTCAACAGTGTAGTGGCCTTCTACACTGTAATCTTGTGCAGTAATACTACAACCGTACCACAAGTGAGGTCATCGCACTCACTCGTAGTGCATCCACACGCTTGTGGACGCTCCAAAACATTTATCAGATGGCCATCTGATGAACAAACGGCAGGCATCTTCACGAATCAATGCTGCCAGCTAACCCATGGCTGGTATTTTATAAGCCATGGCAGACCGAGGTTGACATCAAATATATTATCCGAATCTAGTACGATGAAGTCATCATCGTACTGCTTTACTTCTAGCGTGTAGTGGATTCACACTACACGTTTGTTCACTGTTACGGATGCGCCTGTAGCAAGGCAATGTCATCCTCGTTGGAGGGAACTGTCGCTCAACATAGTTGAGTCTACTATCCCCTAGCGACTGGCGTCAAATGAAACTGTTCGACCCCTCACAGTCAACTAGGGTGCGAAGTGACATTTTACTTGTCACTTCGATCTTCAAAATGATGATAGACACCTCAGTACTAGGGGCAGCAACATACAGAGACTGCGTGTGGGGAGCAATCTTCGTCAAGATTCCTGCAAATTCTCTTGATGTTGCTGGATCAGCAGGTTGGTCCGCCCCTACTGACCCTGTCCATTTTTTGACGGTCCGACTTGCTGTCGCGGCTTAGCGACATGGTCGAACCCGCGCCTTGGAACTTTCTTTGACCAACGACGGTCATCACGTCCTGTCTTTGGACGTGTTGCGGTGCTTGGGTCACTACACTCATGAGCATAGTGTCCAATCTTCTGACAGCGACGGCATCTTGCCGTTCGATTGTGACTCAGAGAGCGAGAGTTCTCGCTCTCGATGTAACAGAGGTCCCTTGGCTCGGGACCTCCTGTTTCCTGTCGTCTCGTCGGACGATAGTTGGACGAGTTAGCCTGAGACTGTCTCAGGCTCTTGTTTTCTTGTTCTGCGTACGCTATCACCTTTTCCAGCGTATGGAAGTCCTCTCGAAATGAAGGTCTTCACCGGCCCATCTACAAGACCGTAGATGAACATGTTGATGGGCGTGTGCTCATCAACAGTGTTTTCCGTGACACTACTTGCAAGGTAGCGTAAGTGCTGTGCGTAAGCGTGCACGTCACGCTTAACTTGCTTTAGCCTCACGAGTGCAGAGCGTGCTCTGGACTCGGCTATCGGCGGCTCAAACGTCTCTTTAAGCCGAGACTTCAAGATCTCCAACGACTCAAGCACCTTTGGGTCGTGAATCTCGAGCCTTAAGGCCCAAGTCTTTGCTCGTCCTGTCAAATTTTACAGGGCGAAGGTGACTTGCATCTCATCACCCTCGATGTGAAGGGCCCTGATGGCGTCGTCTAACTCGACGAACCTTCTCAAAAGGGAATCTCCATCAGTTCCGTTGTACCTTGAGATATCAATCTTCAAATTTTCGGGTCGACGCGTGTGCGTCGGCCCGCCCATTGACCGATGAGAGCCTTGCTGTTGTAGCAAGGCTATCTTATGTCTTTCGACGGCATGTTCCCTTTGTAGGAACTTGTTGATAGCAGCATGTTGCTGGTCTCTGCTCAGAGACTAAAACATACCACTGATGGCGGGTTCGCCCATGAGCACACTCATGCGGCCGACTCTCTCCCACGCTGATTCAATCAGATAGGAGCAGCCTTCACGTGTGACGTGAAAACTGTCGTCTTGTACGTCCAACTTGTATATGTTCGACGTACACTAAGTAGTCGTTGGACGGACTACAAAGTGCCACCAGGTGTAACGGGCACCCTTTGTTTGGGGTGCCGCTAAACTTCACGTACACTAGTAAGTGCAGAGGAAGCTAATCTACTCAACGACTAAGCTGAGTTAAGGTAAAAAGAGAACTGTACTTAACATAGTCAAGCTATCAGTTGAACGTCAGTCTTTATCTAACTATCTTAAACTACGTCGTCGTAACGACGAAATGACGACAACCTGCTCACCACTCCTTGCGCGCATCTAGCAGCGATTGTTGGTAATATATGGTTGATATGTCTTATTATCAACCAATCTTTGAGCAGCGCATAAATATTACCCTGAAAGGGGATATTATTCCATCTATGTTATCTATCTCGGATAATATTGGTAAGATATTGTCAGGCTAGACAATATCCCTATTGACACCGACTGATGTCAATATCATGTAACGGGCTACCCCGTTACAGGTACTTATTTTCAGTCCCGCACATCATCAAGTAAACGTCATCTAAGATGCCGGCATACACTGCAGAAGCAATAGCTTTTGGTCCAATATTGAGTGTATTATATGCAAGAGGTCGTCATTGCAGATAATATCAGCTCGCTATGGTGAATGCCACAGGAAGCAATCGTCCCGTAGGAAAACTACCCGCTTACGTCGGATCTTTAGTTAGTGGCAGCAGCATACGGTTCCAGCTCTGCAAGATCCAGTGCAATTTTCTCCGATGCCAGCGCTGGGTCTTCCAGCACTAGCACGTGCGAGCTGCCCTCCATAGGTTCTCTCACAGTATAGATGTCGGGCAGCTCCCTCTGTAGCGTCTGAAACCGGTCGTGAAACCACACCTTCGATCGAGTTCCCCAGTGGAAAGTAGTGCGACACTTCGGTTGCCGCAGCTCGTGCTCTGTCAGCCACAATGGTTTCTGGCAGAATATCGAAGCCTCAACGTGGGGATGACATGCCAAAGTGACAGTACCATCGTCTGCTTCCGTCAGACCCCCACGAACGTATGCAGCGAGCACTTCGCGATCCAATTTGGCAAAGTTCCGCAAGTTGTCAAAGTACTCTTCAGCTGCAGCGCGTGAGGGCCACGACGTCCTTCGTCGGAGTGTAGCTGCGGTCATGTAGTCGAGTATGTGGTCAGTCTTGGGCGAATGCTGAGCAAGGACAGGTTCGAACAGAATGAGACCATCAAAGGTGCCAGGGTGAGCCACTTCCGTAGCCCAGAGACCTGCCGACCCCATGGAATGTCCAACTCCGATGAGTTTGTGCTGCGTCTTGTTTTCAGGAAAGTCTTGCCTCGTCTTCTCCTTCCACGCGTCCACTTGTTCTTTCACCGCACCAGCTGCCCATTGTACAAGATCGTGTTTCTCATTCCGCACTCGCGGTCTTTTGCGGTTGCTGAGGTCCGCTCTGATGTACTGCAGTGCAGTCGGGTCTTGTCTGGCGCCATGGTACGGGAAGTCGAACGTGAGGAAATCGGTCGGAGTGGATTGCAGTATTCGGGAGCTTTTCAGACGACGCGTGATAGGATCCCACGTACCCTTGCAAAAGCCAGCGCCATGAGCGAACATCAACGTCACCTTCGTAGTGGGGCCAATCATGACAAATTATATGTGAGCAGTGAGGGAGACCAGAAATGCAATGTAGGATCACTCGATACTAGGTCCTAAACGCATTGTCGTGCCTTGCTCAGCTTGCGTCAAATAAGTCGAAGGAGCGTCTCCGTCGCTCGTACATGATTGTAGATGGGAAATGGACTGCCTTTACTTGCAATGCCGGTCGTTGGATGTTTATTCTGCAGGAAAAGAAGCGCGAGTATGTGCGTAAACATGCTTCGGTAGAAAGGCCTGCTTTGCACACGTCTCACCAATTTGCGTCGTCTCTTCTGCTACCGCCATCGCTTCGTCTTGTGTTTCAAATGCCATCTATCTGTCTTTCGCTATGCTCTCCTCTACCTGTACCCACGCTGGACAAAGTTGGCCCAAGCTCCGCCAGAAACGGTACTGCATAGTACATAGGAGTGGCTTGTTTGCCCAAAAATCTAATTTGACACCATCGTCAACCCGTTGATACAGGCGCCAATGCGCCAACGATTTTTTGTCGAACGTTTTCTGGAACGATCGTGTTCACGAGCGCATCGTGGCCGCCAATGTAGGTTAAAGCATTCCGGTGAAGACGCATGCGAGCTACTTGGTCAGAGCTTCGCGACGGAGGCACTACGAGAAGGTGCAGTAGCAGCAGCATTTAGCTAGCTAAAGTTGCCCGTGGCCAAGAAAAAAACCCTTTATTTTGCGTCGTTCCATGCATGTGGACGACACTTTGTGGAAAGAGGCTGTGCATTCGGCACTTTCTTTGCTGATCCTATTATAAATGTGGGAACGTGATGGCAAATCAAAGAGCGGTCACCCCGCGATGAGTGACGTCAGCACTGCAGTGAAATTTTAACTGGTCGGTGGTGAGTCCTCTCGACAAGCGCGCGATGGTTTTTAGCGTTCTCAGTTTGCTGCTTGACGCAACATGTTGCAGGAGATACTTCCAACCTCGAACACTCTGCTTGCGGAGACCGTCTGACCCTCGCTGGTCATCTCCGTGGCGGCGCGATTAACGAATAAAACGGCCTCGACGCGCCGCACACGGTCCCTTGGCTGAAGCTTTGCTGTTTGCACATCAATACAACTTTCGCATACTGCTCCGTCAATGTGTACTTGTCACCACGATTTTCATGGAAGAAGCAGTTCATTCAATCGTCACGCGTTCAATCGAATCGCAGTGCAGCACCTTGCGTAGAATGGGCGTACTCATTGTTGCGAGTGCCTCTTTATGGAAGGCCCTGCGTTTCGTGTTGACGTGCGCTTCAAAGTATCAGGGGTGCCGTAGTACTTGACAACAACTGCGCATGTCTACTTACAAGATGTGTCCGCACTGAATGTATGCAAGCACTGACGAGGACAGTAAATTAGGGGATTCTAGAATGTCCTCTGTTTAGTACCAAACACCCGCGTCCGACCGTGGCATCCTATTATTCATCGCATGTCTCTTTTTTCAAACGGATTGCCCCGTCTCCTGCTTTGAAGTTCTAACAGTCGGATTGTCTCCGCCTTTCCCCGACCCACCCTTACCATCTCCGTCCGAACCGTACTTACCATCACTACTACGCTGTCTGACCGACACCACTACATGCGCGAAAAAAAAATGCCGCAATGGGGTAAGTCGCAATACCGGCACCAACCAGATGCAAAAAAAAAAAAAAGTTGCAATACTGGTGGCACCAGTCGCAAAACCAGCACCACTTCGGCACAAAATTAATGTGTACCACGCTTTTTTAAGGTTCTGTGAATGATTAATACAAAATTCCAGGTGCCAAGAGTAAATTTGACAGAGAATAAATACTGTTATTACATTGAGATGTCCGCCGACAGTCAGTGATCGATTTAGGCGCACGTCTGAGCTGATGAACTGATGCGAGTTCCGCTGTCCATTAAATCGAATTGGTCGCTGCGAAAAATTACCGACGTAATGTGTATGATTTATTCAAGTCTTTGCCATACCTCACGAATGCCGTGCCCGACACCCTTCCGAACGAAATCTACAAGCAACAATCGATGTCCATGTGACCTATCTAAAGCTGCGGTTTATACCTCTTGCGACATTGTATCAATAACAATGACGGGTACAACAATGGCGAGAGAGATTATGTGTTTATTGTACATTTCAGCGCTGCTCGCTGCATGTCGGTGCCTAATCCTGAAAGATAAACTTGGCACTTGATCATTGTAACGGGGTGAATCGTTACATAACAATGTTTAAGAAATTGTTAATAGAATATAACTAAAAGAGTTGTATTCTCAGAATTTTGTCATAAGGACAAATATTTTGTAGCACTTACGAGTAGTTCCTAATTGGTTGATATAGGCCATTTTATCAACCAACGAAGACGCGCCACGACAGACGCACGCAATGAGTGGTGAGCAGATAGTTGATTTACACATTTGTATTTAGACATAGTTAGATGAAGATAAATAGTGATTTATTGCAGACATTAACTATTATAAATACAGTTCGACTTTTTACTTAAACCAAGTACTCGCTTCTTCTTACCGTCTTCCTCTGCACGTACGAGTGTACGTGAAGTTCCAAGGCACCGCCTTATTCTGTCATCAGAATAAGTAGCTTGTACTGTCATCAGTACAAGCTTCAGGGTGCCCCGTTACACCTGGTAGCACTTCGTAGTCCGTCCAAGGACCACGTTCACATCTAACATGAATACGTTAAATGATGAAGATGACCAAAGCTTTCACGCTACGCGTGACGGCTACTCCCATTTGAGCGATGTCGAATGGGATGCGGTTGAACGAATGGGTTCAACCATGGGCATCCGTGCTGTTAGCGTCATGCTAGAGGCTCTCAATAGAGATGCCCAACATGCTACTATCGCCAAGTTCATTCAAAATGAACTTGACGTAGAACGCGAGAAAATAGCCTTGCTTCACCAACAAGGTTCTCAACAAGCAGAGTTGTTGAGAGAACAGGGTGCTCAACAGTTTGAGCTGTTGAGATAGCAGCAGGCTGCTGCTGGTGGGTCGATGCACTCGCGTCGACCCGAAACCTTGAAGATTGACATCTCCAAGTATAGGGGAGTCGAAGAGGACTCCCTCTTGAGATGGTTCGTCGAATTGGATGACGCCATAAGGGCGCGTCGCATCGACGACGGGGAATTGCAAGTTGCATTTGCCCACTCAAATCTGGCAGGACGTGCCAAGACTTGGGCACTGGGGCTCAAGTTGCACGACCCATATGCGTTTGGTTCGTTGGAAGTCTTCAAGTCGCGGCTCAGACAAAGGTTTGAACCGCCTAGAGCTGAGTTCAGAGCTCGAACTGAACTCTTGAAGCTCAAGCAGGGTAAGCGTGATGTGCACGCTTACGCCCAACATATACGACATCTTACGAGTTGTATAAGTTCCAACCCGGTGGATGAACACACGTTGGTTTCGGTGTTCATGCAGGGTCTTGCGGATGGTCCCGTCAAGACTCACCTGTTCCGGCTTGAACTAGATTCACTAGAACAAGCCATTTCCATTGCGGAGCAGTAAGACTTCAGTCTGAGACAGGCTCGCGCCACCTCGACATCATATCGTCAACCGAGACGATATGACAGCGGAGGTCCAGATCCGATGGAACTCTGTTCTGTAGAAAGCGAGAAGGCTCGCTCTACAGACTACAAGAAGTTGCAGAGATGCAACAGATGTCAAAAGACAGGACACTACGCTTACGAGTGTAGTGCCCCTCGTCCAGTGTCTCGCAACACTGGGCGTAGTGACCGTCCACCCATGAGAAAGGGGCAGGGACGAGGGTCCGCTGTTGGTGCAAAGACGCAACAACGGGATGGACCGTCAAACAACGGACAGGATCAGTAGGTGCGGAGCACCCTACTGATCCAGCAACGTCAAGAGAATTTGTAGGCCTCTTGATGAAGGTTGCTCCCAACACACAAACGTTGTGCGTTGCTGCTCTAGGTAATGAGGTCTCACTCATTACCTTGAAACTCGAAGTGACGAATAAGTTGTCCCTTCGAGCTCTAGTCGATTGTGGGGTGTCCAACAATTTTGTGCGACGCCAATCGCTAGAAGATGGTCACTTTAAGTTCAGTGAATGTGACACACCTCCTACGAGGATGACGGTACGTCTTGCGACAGGCGCATCCGTAACCGTCATGAAGCGTATAGTGAAGATCCACTATACGCTAGAAGATACCCAATATGACGATGACTTTATCGTATTGGATTTGGATGACAAATTTGATGTCATCCTTGGAATACCGTGGCTCAGAAGGTACGAACCACGGGTAAACTGGCAACATCGGACAGTAACGATGCCTGCCGCTTGTTCATCAGATGGCCATCTGATGAACGTTTTGGAGCGTCCACAAGCGTGTGGATGTACTACGAGTGCGTGCGATGGCCTCACTTGTGGTACGGTCGTTAGTACGACTGCAAAAAACCTTAGTGTACCAAACGGTTACACTTCGGAGCAAAGTTCCGGCGGCTGTGAGGAAACACAGGCTGCGCCGAAGGTCCACCACTCGAATAAGTCGGGTGGACTGGGACAAAGATGTATCCCTAGAGGGGAACATCTAGAAGAGAAACAATCGATCGCTCAGGTTAAGCGAAACGATAATCCTAGATCGACTGGAGAGTCTTTCGTAGAGGATCTCGCTGTGGTTGCGCAACCCCAGCTAGAGGAAGTAAAGGGAATAAGTCCCAAGATTACAAATACGGCGGAAATAAGTTCCCCGAAACCCGCGGGAATAAGTCCCTAGGAAGACGAAGGAATAAGTCCTTCGAAGCCTGAGGGAGTAAGTCCCCAGGAAATGACAGAGACATTGAATGTCATAGTCAATAACGGATCAAGTGTAGGCGCTTATACACTTGATCTGATTGCGCCTCCAAAGTTGACTTCGGAGATCACTCAGTTGCCAACGCTCGAACATAAAAGGTTCTTGCGTGATCTGCGTAGTGGCAAAGTCAAGCAGATCTGCGTACTCGTCGCTGACGACGAGTGTGTAACCGACATAAGGTCAGCAACAGTGTTCACTGAGAACGAGAGAGTTCTCAGTAGTTCATCTATGGACGAGAGTGTCCTAGATGAAAAGACACGGATTGAGCGATACGACTCCCAATCATGGGAATCGCTCAAGAAAAATCCTCTCTATGAAGAATTTGGTTGAATTCAAGGATGTATTCCCTGAAACTTCTCCGTGCGAATTACCGAAGGATAAAGGTATTCGACACGAGGTCGAGCTTAAACCAGGCTCGAAGTACTGTGTCATGAAGCAGTGGCCACTGCCTCGTGAACAAGTACTTGCGATCGACAAGTTCTTTGCCGATCGTTTAGCTGCGGGCCATGTGATGGAATCAACTTCCCCACATAGCTCTCCGACCTTCTGTGTGCGAAAAAAAACAGGAGGATGGCGGATAGTGCATGCATTTAACAAGTTGAATGCTGCAACGGTACCGGCTCAGACGCCGATACCAAGGAAGGACGTAATCATTGATGGTATGTCAAACAGTACCATCTTTTCGTCCATGGATTTGATGGATGGCTTCTATCAAATCCTTATGCGGGAACGGGATATACCCTATACCGCAGTTAGCACGCCTAGCGGCATGCTCTGGGAATGGCTAGTAATGCCACAAGGGCTTAGTAATGCCCCTGCCACGTTCAACAGATGTGTATCACATCTGTTGAGACCAGTACGAGAATTCGCGCCGAGTTATTTCGATGACGTATTCATCCATAGTCGAGCTATGGATGGAAAGTCGGACGTTGAGGTTCACAGGTACCACGTCCGACAGGTTCTTACAATCATGCGAGAGCATCAATTGTATGCAAACCTCAAGAAGTGTATATTTGCAGCAAGCGAAATACCACTTCTTGGGTGCATCGTTGGTAAGAACGGTGTACGTCCTGATCCCGAAAAGATCAAGGCGATCACCGACTGGCCTGTGCCGGCTCGATGTCAAAGGTCTTCGAAAATTCCTTAGGCTAGCGGCGTATTTGCACAAGTATTCACGCAATTACGCCGAGATGACTGTGCACCTCTCTCGTTTGTTGAAAAAGAACGAGAGGTGGTTATGGAACGCTGAATGTCAGCGCTCCTTTGAGGGTATCAAGCAGAGCTTGATACAATCCCCAGTCCTAGCAATAGCCGATCAGGACAGGCCAATTCATGTGGTCTGTGATGCCAGCGATTTCGCAATCGGCTGTGCACTAATGCAGTACGATCTTGAAGGCGTTGAACGCGTCGTCTGCTATCAGTCACGTCAGCTGCAACCAGCTGAGCGGAACTATCCAGTGCATGACAAGGAACTCCTTGCCATGAAGTATGCACTCGCGAAGTTCAGAGTCTATCTATTAGGAGATAGACCCTTCATTGTTTACACTGACCATGCGTCATTACGCACGGCAGTGAACAGCCCGCACCTTTCACAACGAATGGCGCGGTGGTTGTCATTCTTTGCGGAATACAACTTTACGGTCGAGTACAAACCAGGACGACTCAATGTCGTCGCTGATGCACTCTCACGTCGTCCCGACTTTGAACCATTCGTGAAACCCAACAGTGAGACAGTCACTGTTGCGGTTATTACGTCCTCAGTCCCATCTACAACGTTGAATGATGATGTGAGGCGGGCATACACCCAAGATCGTGAGATTGTGAAGTTGTTGACACATCTCTCCCAACCATCTCGAGAATCGTTGAAACGAATGTCGTCTGCTTATCGATCTGCATCAGATCGATACACTACTCGCAACGGGTTACTGTATTATACAGCCATTTCTGGTGACACACCACGTGTTGTCATTCCAGAAGATACTGATCTGCGTTTGCGGAACATGTTCGAGTATCACGACGCTCCTATAGGAGGACATCGTGGCCGGGAGAAAACATATCTCACGGTGAGTCGAGACTTTTACTGGCCCCGCCAGTATCAGTTTGTGCGAAAGTGTGTTCGCGCATGCGAAGTCTGCCAACGTGTGAAGTCAAGCCCTTCACTGCGTGCACCTTTACAGCCTCTACCGGTTTCGGCAGAGTGCTGGGAATCCATCTCAATGGATTTCGTCTTCGGGTTACCCAAAGACGCACGCGGGAATACGGGTATTCTCGTATTTGTTAACAGATTCAGCAAAATGGTACACCTTGTGGCTGTACCATAGACAATCACGGCAAGTGGCTGTGCTTGTGTCTTTATTGACACCATCTTCCGACTTCATGGGTTGCCCCGTGAACTCGTATCAGACAGAGATCCACGATTCACTGCTGATTTCTGGTGTTCCGTGTTCAAATCACTCGGAACGCGCTTGAAGATGTCTACATCTGATCATCCAGAGTCAGATGGTCAGACGGAACGTGCCAATCGTGTCCTTGAAGAGATACTTCGAGGATACGTACACTACTTTAAGAGTTAAGGTGAGTTTTTGACAATGGTAGACTTTGCCGTTAACAACTCGGTGCATGCGTCCACGACACATACACCGTTTTACGTGAATGGCTTGCGCCATCCGCGTGTACCCACCTTACTAGAGTGTAACTCTGGTTTAAGGGGGGGGGGCTTGCGCGAGCAAAAACCGAATTGGTTCACGCTCATCACGCTCTGACGAAGAGGACATTGCGTTTGATGCCGATATCGATAACATCGATATCGAAGAATATGATGCCAGTGAGAGTGCGGAAGCCCTCACTGAAGAAGATGATCCCAGTGAGAGTGCGAAAGCCCTCACTGAAGAAAAGGTTGATGTTGCTGCAGTGCACTCACAGCGCACTGAAGCTAACGAGTCATCAGATGAGTTCATACTGGCTCGTGAAACGGTAGTCCGTTTTGTGCAAGACTCCATCGCCGAAGCGGTGGATAAGCAAAAGCAAAACGCTGACAAGAATGGAAGGGCAAACACTCTTTTATTTAATAAAGGTGACTTAGTCTAACTGTCTACGGTTAATCTACCAAAGCATGTAGTGACTAACTTGGGTAGCAAACTACTACCCAGGTACATCGGCCCATTTCGTGTATTGCACCGCCTAGGCAATGCATACACGATCGAGTTACCACGTAAGATGCGAACGCATCCCACGTTTTACGTTGGTCGGCTTAAGCCGTACCATCAGTACGCTGCTTCATCCGATGAAGAACGCCCTTGCGCTCAAGCATCTCGCAGAGAGCCTTGTGCTCCCGATGATGGGTATCGACAAGGGTCTGAAGAGCAGCTATCTCATCCCGAGACCGATCAACAATCCCACGAGCTACCCTTAGCTCGTCACGCAGAGACGTCAGAGCTCTCTCGTTTTCAAGCTGAGCAAAGGCAAACTCAGCTCGATGCTTCGAGACAGTGTCCGCCAGTTGGAGACGCCTGTTCCGCTCATGTTCGTGATCGTCGCGGACCCATGCGTTACGCGATCAAAGAAGCTCTCGGGAACACACGCTTCCCCACGATAGTTTGGAGAGCGTCTTCCCTCCTCCTCCACCTCCATTAGAGGACTCTCGTGGTGGCCAGCGCTATCTAGCTAAGCAGCTGTTGAACCACCGCGACGTAAACGGACGTCGTACGAGTTATCTCGTCCGGTGGCGCGGCTATCCCCCGTCCTGGGATCCTTGGGAGCCCCGCTCCCAACTGATGGTTGACGTACTGGGTCTGGTTGAGCAGTACGACGCGGCACATCCTGTGCCGCAGAAGGACCGCCGGAGAAAGTCTTCCCGGCACGGTCGTAAAGGGATTTCAGGTTGTCAACCCCTTCGCACATCTCACTAGAGATACGTACGCGCCACCACGGGCTATTAAGGAGGTTTGCCTCCTTATGTGCTCGTGCAGAGTTGTTCACACAACATGGGCACGAGTCTCCCCAAGAGAGGCAGGGTAATCCCTTCTCCCTTGACAGACGATGCAGCTTGTAGCGTGCACCTGTCGGGGTTCGCTTTTCAAACTTATCACGAGCTTTGACAAGTTTGTCGTTCCAAGCGTCACGACCTACATCCTCAAGGTTATAGATGTAGGCGTTCCACGCTTGAAGTAGTGAGGGACCATCACGCTTGTGATTCCCACTGTACCATCGATGTCTAAAGAAAGCATCGATGAAGAATTCGTTCTCAGCGCGATAGTTTTTCGCACTGGGGTCAAGGTGATGGATCCTTGACGAATCGAACAATCGTGTTCGATAACGATCACTCGTCGTCGCCGACAAGTGATCCATGACGGAACTGGGAGGCATCCATGCCTTCTTCTCGGGAGCGAGACGCAAGACATTGCGGTCCCGCTCTTCCTGCGATGTGCCGACAGAAGTACTGGCACCTCGTTGCGAAGTGGTGTCCATAGGAGAACCGACACCACTGTTAGCGCCCGAGTCTCGCGACCTCGAGCGCCTTCGCTTTGGCGATGGTTCATCTGATTCATCAGATGAACCAAAGATGCTACGACGCAAAGCATCATCCATGCCACGCTTGGCAGGCGGCTTGGATTCGATCGCCGTCGATACGGATCCGTCTTCCGTATCAGGAGCGTACGAGACACCGAGCTCGTACTCTGTGAAGACATGAGTGTCTTCATGACTAGTGCCTGCATCACCAAGTGACACAGGCCGAGTCGCTTCAGCAACCGATGAGACATCAGTTGCTGTGGTTTCTGCTTCGGCGTCCGCACAGAGACGTGCGGACGCGCTCTCGGCGGCCTTGCTCGCGCATCGCATGGGCTTGTTAACCATGCGATGAAATGTTGGAAAGTGGACTCGGACCAACAAGTGCAAACCCTGTCCCAAATGATTTGGGACGAGTATCCATTTAGTCAATCAGTCACTAAAGTGACTGATGGTTAAGGGGGGGGTGATGTAACGGGGTGAATCGTTACATAACAATTTACAAGAAATTGTTAATAGAATATAACTAAAAGAGTTACATTCTCAGAATATTGTCATAAGGACAAATATTCTGTAGCACTTACGAGTAGTTCCTAATTGGTTGATATAGGCCATTTTATCAACCAACGAAGACGCGCCACGACAGACGCACGCAATGAGTGGTGAGCAGATAGCTGATTTACACATTTGTATTTAGACATAGTTAGATGAAGATAAATAGTGATTTATTGCAGACATTAACTATACTAAATACAGTTCGACTTTTTACTTAAACCAAGTACTCGCTTCTTCTTACCGTCTTCCTCTGCACGTACGAGTGTACGTGAAGTTCCAAGGCACCGCCTTATTCTGTCATCATAATAAGTAGCTTGTACTGTCACCAGTACTAGCTTCAGGGTGCCCCGTTACAATCATGTCCAGTGATCGTTTACTGCTAATCACGCCGGACGTTCCATCTAAATGACCATGCTTAAAACGGGCACCTTTTGTTTGGGGTGCCACGAAACATCACGTACACTAGTACTTGCAGAGGAAGCTAATCTAGTTAAATTGCCAGTTTGAGTTAAGGTGAAAAGATGACTGTATTTATTATAGTTAAGCTATCGACATAACTTCAGTCTTTATCTAATTATGTTAATCTACATTGTCGTATGACGACAACCTCCTCACCACTATCAAAGAAGGGATTTAAACCTTCAATGCTCATTAAGCGTTACATCCGAAGTGTACTGTGTTTACCAATTTCACCACTTTGTATTGATTTATCTTTTATCAACCAATCTTTGAGCAGCGCATGAATATTAGCCTAAAAAGGGATAGTATTCCATCTATATTATCAATCTCGGACAATATTTGTAAGATATAGTCAAGCTAGACAATATTCCTATTGACACCGTTTGGTGTCAATATCATGAAACGGGCTATCCCATTACATTTTCACCCCTCTTAACCATCAGTCACCCGTGGATTGAACAGAATTGATTGGGACAGGGTGACCACCGTTGGATCACTCTGGGAAAGGGAGCACTTGTTGGTACAATTTCATTCTTTGCCAATACAATGCATGGTTTCAAAACACAAGCAAATTGCTACTGCAGCAGCAAGAAAGGCGGTCGCACACATGCGTGCATCCGGAGAGAGTACTTCTCACACCTCAGCAGCAGGTGGTTCGTCGCCTGCTGCTGTGAACAGTCCACACGGTGAGTCACCAAGTGCAACTGGTACATCCGCTGCAGCGGGTACCGCGAATCGTAATCCAGACGAGCCTGAAATAGAGCTCATCTATTCTGGCGAGTTGGATGATGTAGCCGACTCGAAGGCGATACCTCACGCCTCCGGATTACCCGAGCCGGACACTGCAAGAGCCAGGTTGACTGGTTCTGGTGAACGTGGCGGTATCATGACCGAGATCTTCGGACCGAGCAATTATTCGGACGAATCCTCGCCTCACGCAAGTCCATCTAACGATAGGACGCGTGGGGATGGTGGTGATGAACCTATACATCACCACGAGCGAAGTAACTCGAGGGATTAAGATGTCACTGGTGTCAGTGCTCATGCTGACACCAATCAAGAGGCCAGGGACCGAAATGTCCTGCGTTACATTCCTCAAGTGGATTCTCCTTAGATGCCGTCAACCAAAGAGTTGGACCGGTTGGCCGGCATGACCACCGATCGATATTGAATCCCGTTTATCGATTGTAGGAAGACTTGCCCACCTGATTCTAGCACGGAAACTATCCGTGCTGAGGAATAATTTGACACCGATGTGTTCTTCAAACATCGGTGGTACAATGGTAGCCGTGTTCGAGACGGCAAAGCCTTGGTGCAAGGATGGAAAGCCCTCATCCACAACATCGAGTGCATTGACCGTGAGATATGGCTCGCTAAACTTGATGCAGCTCGCATCAGGTTTGAGAAACGCAACCTAGTCGGGGCGCGATACAAGTTGCACCGGCTTTCAAGAGAGGCAGGATTACCCTGTATCTCGTGGGGTGATTCGTGTCCAGGTTGCCTGGACAGCTCGAACCGTGCCCCTAGGAAGGCCTTCCTCCCTAATGATCCCTACTGGAAGTCCCGCATCTCTTCTGAGATGGCCGAAGGCATTGACACTTTGCAATCCCTGTACTCACGGTCGGAAAAATCGTTTTCTGACGGCCCTTCTCCGAACGCAGCGGGTGGGTCTCGTCATATTGCTCGACGAGACCCAGAACGACAACAATCAGCTGGGCGAGAAGCTCCTAACTATCCCAAGCCGGTGGATTAGCCACGCCAGTTTCGAGGTAACTCGTCCTGAGCCCTTCACGTCGCGGTGGTCCAAGATACGCACCACTAGAAAACGTTGACCACCGCTAGGGTCCACCAAAGGATGTGGTGGCGGTGGGAACAACTGATTCGGCTCGAGGGTTGGATCAGCTTGATGTTCAGGAGCTGAACCGTGTAACGGAACAGTTGCAAGATGACCTGGCTCACGAACGGACTCGGCGTTATGAGCTTTAGGATCTTGCAAGAAATAATTCCAATTCCTTAGCGCACGACCGTTCAGACGATCGTTCTGCGTTCGCGTCCGCACTACTTGAGAACGAACGTTCGGTTCGTTATCTTCGTGACGAGCTGGCTGTAGCTCTTCTAGACATCGCTCCACTGCGTGAGCAGTTCGCTCCGCAAGTCGACCAGACTGGCTCGTTGAAACGGGACCACTTACGGGTGGTCTCGGCTCTCGACCGCGGAGGTGTTATTCGCCTCTCGAAACGGGCTTGCACTGATAGTACGGGCGGAGACGTCCAACGTAAAACGCAGATGCGTACGCATCGCACGGGGCAGTTCAATCGTGAATGCGTTGCCCATTCGGCGCAACACGCGATAAGGACCGATATACTTGGGCAGTAATTTACTGCTGCCCACTTTTGTCACTGCGTGTTTCAGTTGATTTACTGTAGACAGTAAAACTAAGTCTCCTTTATTAAATGAAAGAACATTTGCTCTTACATGTTTGTCTGCGTTTTTGCTGCTTGTCTATTGCATCTACAAAAGAATCTTAAACGAAGCGGACAAACGCTTCGCGAGTCAGCAGAAATATCTCCGCTGATTCATCCTTGTCAACAGCAGTGCGCTTCGTGTGCACTGCTGAAAGAACGTTGTCTTCACCAGTGAGGGCGTCATCGTCCTTACTGTGGCAGTCATTGGCGATGCTGAATATACCAGCATCGTCTTCATCATCATCATCGGTGTCGATGTGATCGACATCAGCATCCATCACGTCGACACCATTGTCGACGTGTGATGAGCTAGAACCAGATCGGTTTTTGTTCGAGCGAGTCTACCCTCCCTCCTTAAACTATAGTCACACTCTAAGAAGGCGGGTAAACGTGGATGGCGTAGGCCGCTCACGAAAAACGGTGTACGCGTTGTCGACGCATGCACCAAGTTGTTGATTGCAAATTCCGCCATCGGCAAGAACTCACTCCAACTCGTGAACGAGTGGGCATACCCTTGAAGTATCTCTTCGAGGACGCGGTTGACGCGTTCCTTCTATCAGTTTCTGAATGATCAGAAGTTAATATCTATAATCGCGTTCCAAGTGAACGGAACACGGATTGCCAGAACTCTGCCGTACAGAGGGGTCCCTATCAGACACGAGTTCACGGGGTAACCCTTGAAGTCGGAAGATAATTTCGATGAAAGCACGAGCACAGCCCTGAGCTGTGATTGACTTTCGGTACAGCAACAAGATGTACCATGTTGTTGAACCGATCAACAAACACAAGAATACCAGTATTCTTGTTAGCGTCTTCAGAAAATCAAATGACGAAGTCCATCAATACGGACTGCCAACACTCTGCCGGAATCGGTAGAGTCTGCAAGAGTGCGGGAGATGAAGGAATAGGTTTTACCCGTTGACAAAATTCGCAAGCGCGAATGTATTTGCGCGCAAGCTCATACTGGCGGGGCCAGTAGAAGTCACGACTTACCGTGAGGCAAGTATTTCCTCTACCGCGATGCCCACTTGTTAGGGCATCGTGACACTCAGACATGATGCGCAGTCGCAAATCATTATAGCGGTAACGACGAAAAGCGGTGTGTCACCGTTGTCTGCTGTATAGTACCGCAGTCCATCACGAACCGAACACCGTTTGGTTGAAGAGCGGTATTAAGACGACAAGCTTTTCAAAGCTTGACTGCGACTGCATGGATTGGCTATACAATCCATCACCCGCAGAAGATACTCATCTTCTGCGTACGCTTTTCGCACGTCGTCGGGCAGACTCGACGGCGGAACACTCACTGATAGTGTTGCAACAGTGGGATCACCCCCACTGTTGGGTTGAGCAGTCGGCTCGAAATCGGGCCGACGCGAAAGAGCACCAGTGACGACATTAAGTCGTCCTGGTTTATACTCGACGGAGAAGATGCACTCCGCGAATAAAGACAGCCACCTTGCCATTCGTTGCAAGAGGTGTGGACTGTTTACGGACGTGCGTAACGATGCATGGTCGGTATAAACGATGAACGGCCTATCTCCTAAGAGATATACCCGAAAATTCGCCAGTGTATGTTTCATGGCAAGGAGTTCCTTGTTATACACCGGGTAATTCTACACAGCTGCTTGCAGCTGACGCGATTGATAACAGAAGACGCGCTCAACGCCGTCTGATTCGTACTGCATTAACGCGCAGCCGATCGCAAAATCACTGGCGTCACAGACCACATGGAATGGTCTGTCCTGGTCTGCAATCGCCAACACAGGCGATTGTATCAAGCTTGTCTTGGTATCTTTAAAAGAGTGCTGACACCCAGCACTTCATGACCACCTCTCGTTTTTCTTCAACAGACGAGAGAGATGAACGGTCATCTCGGCGCAGTTCCGCGAGTACTTGTGCAAGTACTCTGCTAAGCCAAGGACCTTTCGACGTCCCCTGACGTCGAATGGCACAGGCCAGTCGCTAATCTCCTTGAACTTTTCTGTATCAAGGCGTACGCCATTTTTACCCAAGATGCAGTCAAGAAGTGGTATTTCGCTCGCTGCGAATATACACTTCTTGAGGTTCGCGAACAACTTATGCTCTCGCATTAGTGTAAGAACCTTCCAGACGTGGATTCTATGAACCTCCACGTCCGTCTTTCTATCCATAGCCCGGCTATGGACGAAGACATCGTCGATGTAACTCGGTTCGAAGTCTCGCACCGATCGCAACAGATTCGTCACACATCTGTTAAACGTTGCAGGGAAGTTACTTAGCCCCTGTGGAATCACTAGCCACTCCCAGAGCATATCACTGGGGGTGCTCACTGCTGTGTACGGGATGTCCCGTTCACGCATGAGGATCTGATAGAATCCATCCATCCGATCCATGGACGAAAAGATGGTACTCTTTGCCATACCATCAGTGATGACGTCCTTTCTTTGGATCGGCGTTCGAGCCGGTACCGTTGCAGCGTTCAATTTGTTGAACGTGTGCACTATCCTCCACCCTCCTGTGTCTCTTCGCACACAGAAGGTCAGAGAGATGTGTAAGGATGTTGATTCCCTCACATGTCCAGCCTCTAGACGATCGGCAAATAATTCGTCGATCGCTGTGACCTGTTCACAAGGTAGTGGCCACTGCTTCATGACACAGTATTTCGAACCAGGTTTCAGTTCGATCTCGTGCCGAGTGCCTTTGTCTTTGGGCAGCTCGCATGGCACGGACTCAGGGAAAACATCCCTGAATTCCACCAAATCCTTATACAAAGGATTTTTCTTGAAAGACTTCCAAGATTGAGACGTGTATCGCTCAATCCGAATCTTCTCATCCAGTACACTATCGTTCATCGATGAGCTACTGAGAACCCGTTTGTTCTCAGCAAACACTTGTGCCGACCGAATATCGGCAAAGTACTCGTCCTCTGTGACGAGTACGCAGATCTGCTTGATCTTGTCACTACGCAGATCTCGCAAGAATCTTTTAGATTCTAGCGTTTGCAAATTGACTACCTCCGATGCTGACTTCGGGGTTGTAACTAGATCAAGTGTATAAGCGCCTGCACTTGATCCGTCATTCACCAAGACATTCACTGACTCGGTGATCGCCTGGGAAAACACATCCGCAGGTGGTTGGGGATCCACACCCTCAACATAACTCTCTCGGGAGTTATTACTCTCAGGTACGCTGGAACTCTCTTCCAGTACGTGTTCTGACTGTGGGTATACTACCACAGTCAGGTCCTCTTTGATCGACTCTCTTTTAGTTGCCAAGGCTTGCTCTACGATCGACTCTCTTAGTCGCTATCGCTTCAACGTGTTGTTCATCCTGAACAGCACTCATCTATCTTCTTAAATTCACCCTGCTTGGTGTGTGCATCCATGAACTAGTCCACTCGATCTCTTCAAGAGGTGAACCTATGGCTCAGCCTGTGTCTCTACACAGGTGCCAGAAGCTGGTTTCACAGTGAAGTGGCCTTCTACACTGTGATCTTGTGTAGTCACACTAACAACCGTACCACAAGTGAGGTCATCGCACTCACTCGTAGTACATCCACACGCTTGTGGACGCTCCAAGACATTCATCCGATGGAGATCTGATGAACAAACGGCAGGCATCTTCACGGATCGATGCTGTCAGCTGATCCAAGGCTGGTTTTTTTCTGAGCCATAGCACACCAAGGATGACATCAAATTTGTCATCCAAATCCAGTACGATGAAGTCATCATCGAACTGCTTTACTTCTATCGTGTAGTGGATTCCCACTACACGTTTGTTCACTTTTACGGATGCGCATGTAGCAAGGCACAACGTCATCCTCTTTGGAGAGAACTCTCGCTTAGCATATTTGAGCCTACTATCCCCTAGCGACTGGCGTCAAATGAAACTGTTCGACCCCTCACAGTCAACTAGGGCGCAAAGTGACATTCCACTTGTCACTTCGATCTTCAAAGTGATGATAGACACCTCAGTACTAAGGGCAGTAACATACAGAGACTGCGTGTTGGGAGCATTCTTCATCAAGAGTCCTGCAAATTCTTTTGATGTTGCTGGATTAGCAGGGTGCTCTGCCCCTACTGACCCTGTCCGTTTTCTGGCTGTCCAATTTGCTGTTGCGGTTCAGCAACATGGTCGGATTCGCGCCTTGGACCCTTCTTTGACCAACGACGGTCATCACGTCCTGTCTTTGGACGTGTTGCGGTGCTTGGGACACTACACTCACGAGCGTAGTGTCAAATCTTCTGACAGCGACGGCATCTTGCCGTTCGATTGTGACTCAGAGAGCGAGAGTTCTCGCTCTCGATGTAACAGAGGTCCCTTGGCTCGGGACCTCCTGTTTCCTGTCGTCTCGTCGGACGATAGTTGGACGAGTTAGCCTGAGACTGTCTCAGGCTCTTGTTTTCTTGTTCTGCGTACGCTATCACCTTTTCCAGCGTATGGAAGTCCTTTCAAACATGTAGATCTTCACCGGCCCATCTACAAGACCGTAGATGAACACGTTGATGAGTGTGTGCTCATCAACCGCGTTTCCGTGACACTACTTGCAAGGTAGCGTAAGTGTTGTGCATAACCGTGCACGTCACGCTTACCTTGCTTTAGCCTCAAGAGTGCAGAGCGTGCTCTGAACTCGGCTCTCGGCGGCTCAAATGTCTCTTTAAGCCGAGACTTCAAGATCTCCAACGACTCATGCAAGTTTGGGTCGTGAATCTCGAGCCTTAAGGCCCAAGTCTTTGCTCGTCCTGTCACATTTTACAGGGCAAAGGTGACTTGCATCTCATCACCCTCGATGTGAAGGGCCCTGAAGGCGTCGTCTAACTCGACGAACCTTCTCAAAAGGGAATCTCCATCAGTTCCGTTGTACCTTGAGATATCAATCTTCAAGTTTTCGGGTTGACGCATGTGCGTTGGCCCGCCTATTGACCGATGAGAGCCTTGCTGTTGTAGCAAGGCTATCTTATGTCTTTCGACGGCAAGTTCCCTTTGTAGGAACTTGTTGATAGCAGCATGTTGCTGGTCTCTGCTCAGAGACTAAAACATACCACTGATGGCGGGTTCGCCCATGAGCAAACTCATGCGGCCGACTCTCTCCCATTCTGATTTACTCAAATAGGAGCAGACTTCACGTGTGACGTGAAAACTGTCGTCTTGTACGTCCAACTTGTATATGTTCGACGGACACTAAGTAGTCGTTGGTCGGACTACAAAGTGCCACCAGGTGTAACGGGCACCCTTTGTTTGGGTGCCACGAAACTTCACGTACACTAGTAAGTGCAGAGGAAGCTAATCTACTCAACGGCTAAGCTGAGTAAAGCTAAAAAGAGAACTGTATTTGATACAGTTAAGCTATCAATTTAACGTCAATTTTAATCGAACTATATCAAACTACGTCGTCGTATGACGACAACCTGCTCACCACTCATTGCGCGCGTCTAACAGCGATTGGTGGTAATCTTGTTTGACATGTCTTTTTATCAACCAATCAATGATCAGCGCATGATTACTATCCTAAAAGGAGACAACGTTCCTTCAATATTGCCCACCTCGGACAAAATTGGTAAGATATTGTCAGGCTAGACAATATCCCTATTGACACCGACTGATGTCAATGTCATGTAACGGGCTACCCCGTTACATTACGCTCCACCGTGATCGCGCTAATGCATTAAGCTTTAAAGGACGTGTTTTACCACCGATCTTGGTGTCGAAGTAAGCGATCGATCCCAATATTACGTTAAAAATAAGATTAACTGCGAAAAGGAGCACCCACAAGAGGTAGTAACGTAAGATTTAGCCTTGAACTGCACTAAAACAGTCATTATTAGCTTTGCATTTGCAAATGAGAGGAAAATAAATATTGAATTTAAAACAGGATCTATATTTAACTAATCAGGCGAGTGATAAGCGACCCCCAGGTACAAATTAAAATTGACTTAGACTAAGAAAAATGAACGCAGCTGTTTCGAATCACCTTAAAAACACGCACTTTAATCAGCCGCCTCTCCCCCAAATTGGGTAGGTGGCTACGGTCCTTTCTCTGATAGCGTTTCCCCGATAAATTAAATTACCCGCTTGCTTATACAATATGGCGTCCAACCTTGTCGTTCTATGGTCGCTAACTAGCTCATCATCAATAGCCGAAAAGTCACAAATAGGTGTACAGAAGAAGAATTTATACTGATTGTGGGGAAGCAAACCTATTCTAGCTGTTCGTCAGGATATGATAGTGTGGTGCTGTCAAAGCAAATGTAGATCTAAAGGTTGTGGAGTAGCGTGTAGGCAAGATGGTTGGGTTCCTGGTACAGAAATGCAAGGTAGAAGGATGGCAATATTCTTGGATTGGAGAATCAGGATGTGTATGCCTCCTCTTGTGTTAGAGCCCCATCTTATTGTTTCTAAGACTTTAGATCATGGAGCTGTGGCTGCACTCTCGTCTTTTACAATAGAGATGGAGCCCGTTAATTGATAAGTATCCAAAATAATACATTTTTCCCTCACAAAAAGCTCCAACCTTAACAAACGACGATGACGGCTACATGTGTCTGATGTTAAGGTAGATACTGATTAAATCAGGAACGACAGGTCAAGGCCTGTGCTGGCGGCATCGTGGGCCTTGTAATCGCTAGATTTTAAAAAAGTTCTTATTAAATGGATGGAGTGGGTGGATCGAATAAATTTTCCACTTTTTACCCATTGATGATGAATCTTACTATTTTACATGAATGCCCCACTATCACATAGTAGCGTATAACCTACGATGACTGATTAAAAGTGCCCCCGCTACGACTGAAAGCTATTAAAGGGAGGACAACATGCAGATATAGGTTTTTGAAGTGAATAGCGTAAATCAAAGGGCGAGGTACAGAACTTACTTGTCTGTCTAAAACAAAAACAATACCTCTAGGGAGAGACACATCATTTAACGTGCCGAGTTGTCTTCTATCGCCTTTCTATTATCATTTCTAAAGACAAATTGTCACCCCGCGGTCACATAGGAGATGTAAACGCAGACTTCATACACCATTTAAATTCCCTCCACATCTACTGCTAAAAACTTGACGTACAGCTGCGTAATCATTTTTTACAGCTATTGTATTCACCCTATGTGTAAGGTATTATGCAAAAATGCATTTCGTTGATTTCAATCAAACGCTTTTTACTATTTGACCGTTTTTCGTAATGAAGTAGAATTTAACGTAGGTTTTATTATTGATGCTATACAAAAGAAGACAGTTTCAAGAATGTGATAAAAGAAATTAAAAGGGATTTTATAAATTAATGTCCAAGTGCTACAATCTTTTCAAAGACACAGTGTACTGTGGGAGTACCCCAATACTAATGATGGAGATCAGTATGTATTCGTGAGCTTACAAGGTGTTCAAGTGGACAAGAT